TCTCACCCTGGTAAGTATAGTATTTCAAGAACATGCTAAGAGTGGTTTTCATTTTCCAGGGCTGTTGACGGATTAGAAACATTCATTCAAGGGCTACCGCTGTGTTTAATAGATGAACACCACTTCTACACAACCCTCCTTCACTTTGTATGGTGGGGAGGGAGGGAGCTGACAAATACTGCCCATTGCCCTGGGCTGACTACATTTGAGAACAAATACCCACCCATTCCCACCATGGCATGGTAACTTCTCTGAGCTTCAGTTTCCAAGTGAATTTCCGTGCGATAGGACATTCCCAATAAATAGAAGCTGTTTTTACTTTTTCGTTTCCCAGGGCCTGTGCGATCTGGTCCCCCAGCCTCTCCTGAGCTTTCTTACTCAACTGTACCCACTGTCTCCTGCCTGCCTTTGGCAGGCATCCCCAGCCAGCACACACTCCCTTCTGTTTTCGCTGCCTGGAACTTTCACTCCGGCCCCACCAAGATCATTGCATCCAGTCCTGAACTCAGCTTAAGGGCGGCTTCCTGCCTGTGGGCTACCTCACCCCATGCCTGTCCTCCAGGCTGGGGCAGGTTCGTAGTTTGCCTGAAATTGTTCTGTACCTCTTTGTAGCACGTAGCATTGTGGACACCAAACCACTAATTGAGTTTCTGGCTCCCCTCCTGGGGTTGTAAGTTTTGTTCATTCATGAGGGCCGACTATGTATTTCCTGGTTACTATATCCCAGTGACCAGCCACAGGAGATGCCCAACAAAGTGTGTGATGAAATGGTCTTAAAACCCATGGTATTTTTATTATAGGGAGAGTGGGGAAAGAAACTAAGTGTGGGTGGGGCAGACAGGCCAGTGTAAGAGAGACTAGTTCATTATGTTCCATTTTCATTTCTACGACTTGACTGGATGGTCATTTTCTCTCTTGGCCAATAAGTCATCGCAGCCACTTTTAGTCCTGCAGGAATGGCCTGCTGTATTTCGAGAACTACCTGCAACCACAGCCGTGTCTGCTTTGTTGGAACAGAGGTGCTGAGTTGAGGGACGGGGATTTGACCCAGGGCAGCCCCAAGTCAGCAGATGAAAATACATGCCCTGACTTTCCTCTGGCAACCCTGATTTGACATGGATCCTGCGAGTGAATTTGCTGGCAAGTTCCAAGGGCAGGAGCCTGCAGTAGGTCAGTTAGTCCTGAAGAAGAGGTCTTTCTGTTGTAGTGAGATAAAAGTTTGCAGGTGGGTGCATCTAGGGCTCCTCACCATCTGGAGAGGCTGAGGAGGAAGGGAGGGAGAGCCATGCTCAGTGGTCAGTTTGGTCAGGGAAGAGGTGTCAGGCCCCAGCCCACATCCTGGGCTGTCAGTGAGAGTCAACATGGCAAACGGCGACTCCATAAAGTCAACTGTAGCTACTTAACTAAATGATTTTCTCTCATTTTTTTGGAAACAGGGTCTCACTCTGCCTCTCAGGCTGGAGTGCAGTGCTGTGATCTCTACTCACTGCAACCTCTGCCTCCCGGGTTCAAGCAGTTCTCGTGCCTCAGTCTCTTGAGTAGCTGGGATTAGAAGCGCTTGCAACCATGCTGGTTAATTTTTTTATTTTTAGTAGAGACAAGGTTTTGCTATATTTCCCAGCCTGGTCTTGAACTCCTGGCCTGCCCAGCTTGGCCTCCCAAAGTTCTGGGATTATAGGCATGAGCCACCATGCGTGGCCTTCTCAAGTATTTTTAATGTGCCACAGTGTTGTTTAATAACAGCTCAAAAAAGGGCAAGTTACACAGAGTGGCTGAATTTAGAAGGGCCACAGCAGCATAGGGGTGTCCTGGGTTGGAATTCTGTCTCTTCTATCACCTCCAACCTAACTTTGGTCTAGTTTCATATCCTCTGGAAGCCTCTGTTTCTCAGCCCTTGAGAGGATATTGTACAGATAATACCCATATAAAGGGCCCAGCACATAGGTGCTCATGGAATGAGAACTATTTGTGTATATGGCTCACTTTATAAACCTAAAATACATATTTTGAAAATAAGAAAAGAGGAATGAAGTGAATATGTTGATTGTTACTATCATAGTCGTTCTGGGCTAATTGTTATAATGTGCTTATGCTTTCATCTTAATAGTGATTACTGAAAAACCACTGGGATTTTCTGTGCTCATTCAGATATCCTCTCTAATCACAGCATTAGTGCTCACCACAAAAGGGCCCCAAAGAACCGCTGTTGTGTTTGTTGGCCTCTGTTCTGAATGGTGTCCGTTTGCATCTTTGAGGGAGGTTTTGCTCAGGAAAGGGCTATCAGTGAGGGCAGGATGCTCTAGGCAACCTCGGACAGGATTCAGTGGTTGGGAAAGGAGGGGCAACCCCACACCTCAGCCACATGCTGGCCGCTCAGTGACACAAACCTCCAGGTGCATGGTCATTGGCAGACACTCCTGCAGGTGGCAGCGCAGCCACATCAGGATGACATAACTTTCATCCATGGGGCTTTTCTGGATGGAGTGGGGATGTGTTACTTTCAGAAGGAGGGCACTGTCATGTAACCTCAGCATCCAGAGCAGAGCCAAATGTGAAGCTCACACCTCGGTCAAGCCTCTGCCGGGGCCTCTGAGTGCTTATAGCAAAGGCTGCTGGTCCATATGCAAGAGGGAAACAGGTTTTGGTTTCTAAGGCACAGATGGGCTCCTTTAGCCTAGAATTCTGGAGGGGAACCTGATCCTGTGAAGTGTTTCTTGAAACTTGGTGTGATCCCTGGAAGAAGCCCAGAGTCTTATGTGAGATGAGACTAGGATGTTGCCACAACATGCCGGGTGACAGTGTCGGTGCATTACTTGGTGCTGCTTCCTGGCAAGTACATTAAACAGCTGTCAGAGACGCTCTGATAAAGGAACAGAAGGGGCACAGTTATAATAGGAAAAACAAAGGGTTAGTACCGGTGTTTTCAAAAGACTGACAATAAACAAGATGATAATAATAATAATAATAAAAGATTGACAATAAACCAACAAGGAAAACTCAATTGGCACAATGAGGAAAATGGATGAAACTCTGAATGGTGCTTCACTGATGAAACATAAATAACGCATGTATGAAAACATGCTCAACCCAATAGAACTCTGGGACATGCAAATTCACATGAAGTCTGATTTTTTTTTTTTGCCTCTCGGGTGTGCAAAAACTAAAAGGTTTGCTAATGTCCTGGGTGAGTGACTTCTAGGGAGACAACGCCATCATGCCCTGTTGGTGAGTTGGTGCCTGGGAAGATCCTTTGGAAGTGACAATTTGGTGTTTTCTACTTAAATTTAAAATGTGCATGCCCTTTGACCTGGAAACTTCACTTCTAGGGAATTCTCCCATAGAACTAGTCTGCACATTAGCAAACATACACAAATGCAGGAGTATTCATTATACAATTGAATTATAGAATTGCAGCGTGGAAACAAGTTAATGTCTGTCACTGGGGAGGTGGAGGTGACTCTACAGACTTCGTTATATTTATACTGTGGAATGCCAAGCAGCCATTACACAGAAGTAGGTAGCTCTGTAAGTGCTGACATGGCCAGGCAGGATGTTGACCAAAGAGGGCCATCTGCAAAACTGCCCATATGTGGCAGATTTAGTCACTTGTAACATACAGTGCTTTCACATATTAACCTCCTTAACATCAGGATTATCACAAAATTGGTGGGATCTTACAGGAATAAATGGCAGTATTCTTGCTTTCTTAGCAGAACATAAAGTGATTTTGACCATGGTAGTCCTGGATTTGATGATATACCAGGAGTTTGACTGTTGTTCATAAAAGCAAACAATGTATATGTTTCTGGAACTATACAGATTTAAATTGCAGAGTGTTGTCTGGAGATGTACTCCAAAGTTATCAATGGAATGAGATGGGGAGAGGAGTCAGGAAACGGGCTAAATGCTCTTGGTGTATTTGTTTGATTTGAATGTTTGTAACAAACATGTCTCCCTATATTGCTGGTATTGCCCCATCCTTTGAGACAAGAGGCAGTTGGCTCTGTTAGACCCTGGGCCAAGTGGGAGACCAGCTGTGGGCACTGAATGTGGTGGTGGCAGTGTGAGATCTGGCTGGGGCATGGCTGTCTTGAGCCCCGGAGCTGCCCTCCCAGCAACCCAGCAGGTGGCCCAAGGCCCCCCTGGGATGAACATTGCTCCTCACTGACACACAGCTGCCACGCCCAATATGCAAGCCATTAGAGGCCAAGCTTGGGAGCTTGGTGACCACAGCAGATGCCTGGATGTTGTGTGCCACTGTCCCTGGGCGATCCTCTGATTTTGGCAACAGTAGGCCCACAAGTGGGGCATGCATGTGCCAGGGAGCTGGCAGCCCTGGAACCAACCTTTCACCTGGTGGGTGAGAGCTGTGGGTCAGCGCTCCAGCATCCTGCTCCTTCATGCATAAGATGTGGAGAGACCCCTTGTGCATCTCTGCAGAGTGGAGTTCTCGGTGTGGTCTCAGTAATGCTCCTCTGAGTGGCTTGCTGAGACACACACACTCATCGGTGCCATTGGCAACCTGCCTGTCTCTCCTGAGGTCCCTCAGCACTCAGTGTCCTATCTGTGTTTCTGTTGATAGGAGCTGCTTTTGAGGCTGGTCTGGCAAGTGCACTTTGGCAGACCTCAGCTCCTTCTGAGGCACTGGTCTCAGGCAGTGCTATTTGGGTTCATTGGCCCCTGGTGAATGGCCAGTTGGTGACTTTCTTTATGCCTCTTCCATACTTCCTTTTCCTTGGGTCCCTCTGCCCCTCCCCACTGTGTCCAGCTGCGCCTGCACCTTCACATGTTCAGGCTGCTTACCCCAGGGGAAGGGCCGAGACCACATCCACAGCAGAGTGGACGCTGCTTGTCGAGGATGGGACATTGGGACCCACAAACTCATAGGGAGAAACCAATAACAAAAGGGCCCACAACAGCAAACCCCATCTTATAGCAGGCAATTTTTTTTTTTTTTGTACAGGAATAAAAGTAAGAGATCTGAAGAAAAAGACACAGGCTGGTAGTCAAAGTAAAGGTTTATCCTTGCATCAGAATGGTTTAAATCTTGCAATTTGCATATACAAAGAATTCAGCAACATTCACTGGCATTATAATCAGAGCAAGATCAAATTATAAATGTAATTAAAGAAAATATGATAGTTGAAACTGTAATAACATACATATATTATAAAGATTGCACATAAATTAAACACAACTTGGTTAAACAAACAAACGAAAAAGTATCCGTAATCATACACTTAAAAGAATAACATGGGTATGTCTCCAAATGCTGAAGCACAGGTGTCAGGCTCATTTTAAAAAGTGTTTAAAAACACGTAAAAATACCTTTTGAAACACCGGTATGCATTCTTCACTCGTATAGCACATGGAGAGAAACCATAAAGGCAGTCACACAGTGACCAGATCACACACAGATCAGAATGGTCATCTTCTAATCACTATTTGGTATTTGAACCCAACTGCATGCAACAAAGGAAAATGTGAAAGGAACAACGGTGTCGGCACTGGGCTGTTCGGGGCTGTTTTGTTATGTACAATGGACTTTCTTTGACCGAAGGAAAGAAGAGATGAACTTTCCAGGTTGCACGGAGAAGATACTGAGTCCCCCAGGGGTTGATTCCCCCAGTGTGAGTTGCCCTAAGGCCCAGGAGATTGTGTGAACTGGGACCTCGGTAGAGGCCATGAGACTGTAATGACTTCCCCCCTAAAGCGGAATGCTGCCCCGGACAGCGCAGCGGAAGGGAGAGTCCTTTGTCCCGGGGAAAGTGGCTTCTCCTTTGTTCCTGGAATGGAAAAGGTTTGGGAACAGGCAGAACCCCTGCAGCGGACACCTGGGGTTGGTCTAAGGGGACAGGATAAAACGTGAGCAGGGCCCTTTCCTGAGGGCACCCTGAAAAGGTCTACCTTGAAGGTACTTCTTGATACAAGAGATGCCGGTTAGACCATTAAAGGGCTTCAAGGATTCTGACAGAGGGCTCCTAGACATGAACCAAAGCCTGTGCCCCTCTACTTTGACTTCGAACTCTCAAATAAATGACCAGAGAAATGTCACCTTCATTGTAGCAAGCTGGCTCTGTTTCTAGGTTCAGGTGCTGAACAGAAACTTACTTCCCTCTCTTCTCCTTCAGTCAAAAAAAGGCTTTGGGTTTGGAATTTTAACGATGAAAACAAAAGGGACCTGGTGAACCTCAAAAAGCTCCATTTTCCTCTTCCACCGAGATGCTGAATCATTGTACAGAGAAGGAGAGAAGAGCACATTCAGCAGTGTGCAGCCCGGGCGTGCAGCTGGTGAGGATGGCGGTCACGAAGTGCGCTTTCGTCCTTCCAGCTGGGCACCAAGTCTTGCCCTTGGATGGGGCTCGGAGCCATGGAGTGGGCGAGAAGCTTGATTCCCTGTGAGCCTATTATGGAACAATAATGTGTCCTGGGTTGCATTTGCACGCACCATCAATGAATAGGGACGAACACTGCAACACGAGGGTGCGATCAGTTATCAGTGAAAATGTCAAATAAGGCCTTTATATAGCTTTTAGGAAACAAAAAACGTACCAAAAATGCACGTGTTAAATGCTTTTAGTAGTAAGGGAGGCCAGATATCTCTTTATTTATATTGTGCTCATCTGCTAGGTACCTAATGGCCATAGAAAGATAACTGCTATAAAATTCAATGTTGGTACATTCACACCCATTCTTTTTTTTCCCCCATCAGCCAATCTTATCTGGCAATGGGATCGTTACTGTTATCCAAGGTCAATGGTCTCAGTAGTATTTCCATTCAAAAATAATTTAGCTTTTAGATTAAGGATTTCTCTTTTTCTTTTATTAAACATTGAAAGGTGGAACTTTAAAAAAATGGTATAAATCTAGGTTTTAGGGATTCTTTTCTTACAAACAATCTTAGCTTTTTACAAGAAATGTTTAAATACCAAAATGTTGCTCAGAAAATTTAAAGTTTAATTGCCTGTGGTTATTCTACTGTTTCTATCCCAATGTGTGCTCCTCTGTATTACGTGTGTAAGGTGCTCAGTTCATCTGAACGTTTGGATGGGACGTTTCGTGTTGAGCCTCCAGGCATAGCACTGGAGCAGCACAGGCTGCTGTGGCAGAATGGGAGGGGACAATGGGAGAGGCAGCTGGTTTGATTTTCTGAGGGTTGTCTGGGCCAGACAGGCAGCCGGACAGCAGGTGGTGCTTCGGGGTGCAACTCTGATGGCTGGTTTTGTTGTACCCAAGGCCACGGGTCCATGGGACCACCCGGCATTTACATCTCTTCTCATCCAGCCAAGATGGTGTAGACACAGTGTTGATGGTGTAGACACAGCATTTTTAAATATTACTTACATTCGCCGGCTACTCTAGTGTGTTTTAGACCTGGATCCAGGTTGTAAAGATTTTTTCATCTTTAAAATGTAAAGATAAACCACATGGGCCGGAACTGAGAACTTTACAGAAGTCCCCATTTACATTGTATCATCAGGAACAGGTTGCCTTCCAAAAATGCTGCTGTTCGGGGTTGTGAAATCAGTGTTAGGAAAGTGCATTTTTAACTGACTTCTGAGTCCTCAACTGTTTTCTTAATATGAGCTTTGTGTTTAGTATCTTGTGGGGGCACACTTCGCATATTAAGATTACAACATTTAAAGGTGTTGAATGTGTGAAATTAAACCATATGAATCTAATGAAAAATTAATATATTTACTAATATTAGCAGAAATATATATTTTATGAGATATTATTTGACCTTAATACATTATTCCAATTTTTAAAAAGCATATTTAAGATTTAACAACTTTATAGCAGGTGGCCTTTAAGGCATAACAAAATATATACAAAGAAATTAGGGAAGATATTAATGTCAACTATGAAATAAATTAACATGATTTTTACAAAATATACTGACCATTAAATTAAAAAATATTTTAAGGCAGGAATCTTCATTTGAAATTAGCATAATCAGAAAATATATCAATAAAATCTTGTACCACTTTGTAGCAGAATTCATACTGTTCCTGAAAAGACAAACAAGGACACATTAAAATGTTATTCCCAAAAATATATTTGATTAATTTAATCAGGAGAGATAGTCAAAAACAAGGCATCAATAAGTGTGACTATTCATTAAAATACCATATACCTTTATGCACATCATAATTGGTTTTTAGGCACATACAGAATTCCAAATAAAGCTATGTTCCTACATCGAATGTGTCAGTATATTAACATTTCAAGTTAGTGTATTTAATGGACTGAGTAAAATGTCTGTAGCTTTCACATTGAAACTGGAAAACAACTATTTTTGAATTGAAAAAAAAAAAAAGAACCAGGCCAGGTGCAATGACTCAATGTCTGTAATATTAGCACTTTCAGAGCCTGAGGCAGGAGGATCACTTGAGCCCAGGAGTTTCAGACCAGCCTGGGCAACATGGTGAAACCCCATCTCTATCAAAAAAGATAGAAAAATTAGCTGGGCATAGTGGTGCACACCCGTAGTCCCAGCTACTCGGGAAGCCGAGATGGGAGGATTCCTTGAGCCCAGGAGGCAGATTGCGGTGAGCCAAGATTGTGCCACTGCACCTCTGCACTCCAGCCTAAGTAACATAGTGAGACCCTGTCTCAAAAAAAAAGAGAGAAAAAAAAAAATCAGAGTACTAACATTGCCAGATAAATTTCATAAAGTAAGAAAGTAATCTATAAAAGTTAAATAAAATGCACATCTAGATTATTTTAAAGCCTAAATTTACTATACAAGAAGGACATTGTTTTATATATAGGCTGGTCCTCCCAGACCCCTGGGTGAGATATTTGAGCTTGGGGCTGGCATAGGGGCTTGGGAAACTGGAGAGGCCAAGAGCTGTCCTCAGCACCTCCCTGCTTCTTTCCAACACATTCGACTTGGGCTCTTCTTAGCACACGGTGAACAAATATCTACATGCTTTTGGATGGAAAGACGCCAAACAGCTAGCTTAGCCCTTCCTGAGTCCCGGTCTGGCCAGGATGGGAAGGAGCTGGGTTTTCCAGAGAAGGAAAAGGTGAGCCTGAAACTTTGCTCCTAAATTTGCATGAAGTTGTTGGAGGAGCCAAGACCAGATTCTAGGGTCCTCACTTCTGGCTCCTAAGACACACAGCTGATCACCCAGCCTTCAGAAGGAAAAGGAATTGAATTCCTAGAAGGAATTCTCAATAAATATACAGGCTCTCTTTAAAGAGGCAAACAGCTTAAAGCAACATCGACTTTTCCAACTTAAAGCAACATCAACCGAATATCAACTTAAAACAACATCGACTGACTATCAAAGCTGGCTCAGTCTGGGATGGAAATGGAGATGATCACTAATTACTCTGTTTTCATAGCAAACACAGCAGCTAACTGCTGACCATCCCATGTTGTCTTGAGTACAAGTGACTGGGGACAGTGATGGATGAAGTGTACTTTGGAGTGTGCTGGGATGATACAAGCCACACCTCAGGTCACAGACAGACATTTCTGGTCAAGCCACAGACTCCAGGAAAACAGATGTACTTGCGGCCTTTGGAATGTCAGTTCCAACCAAAGCCTACCTAGGATGCTGGAAGCAAGTCTTCCCTGAGTGCTCAGCAATTGGAAACTGGTTCTGGGGCCACTGTGCCCACCTGCAGGGCTAAATCAACCTGCATGTCAGCCATCATCTCTTTATTCAAAGATGTTTTTGCGCCTGTGTTTTTTTTGCCAAAATATCCCTGCCAAATATGAGGTCTGGCAGCATAGAGTACTAGTTAAGCCCTTCCCTTCTGGAGTCAGATAGAGTTTGAATCTCATTCTGACACTTAATACTTGAAAATCTCGGGCAGGCTTCTCAACCGTCCTAACTGGAGGTGCCTGCAGAACACTCCTTGTGAACAGAAGCAGGCACAAGGGCAAGCAGCTGGTGAAGATGAAATGAGAAAGACGTCTGTAAGGCACCTGGTTGCACTGCACCCAACACCTGATGGTTATTTAGTGACTCACTTCTCCCTCATTCGTTTGCTGATTCACCACTTGCTCTGGAGCCCTCGCCATGGGCTGGGCATTGGACTAGACCCTGACTCTAAAAGTCAGGTTGCAAAGTGCTCTGTCAAGCTGTTACCAGGCAAGAGAGCACAGGTGACAGCCATACAACATCTGAGGGCAGCTTCCCAGTCAGGGAGCATGGAAGGGCAAGCTGGGGTCAGAAAGAGCAGAGCTGAGACGGGAGGACACCTGGAGGCTAGATGGTCTCGAAAATAGAATATATTGACCAGACCAGGCAGATTAATGAGAGCTGTGAGTCCCCAAAAAGACTAGGGAAACGCTGTATGCTGCTGCTTAGAGAGATGGTCTTTGCTACAGGTCGTTGGGCACGTCCCAGAGGCCAGGCACTAGTAGGGCCCCTGATGTACTTAAAGCAAATTTCACACAGTGATTCTAACACACCATCTAACCATTCTAACACACCATCACCCCTATTTTCCACAGAAAAGAACTGAAGCCCAGAAAGTGGAAGGAGCTTGTCCAAGTTCACAGAGCCCCGAGGGAGTCCAGCTGTGAATCTGGAGGACAGTGGAAGCCGAATCTCTGCAGGGACACCTGCTGCCTCTTTCATACTGAGGTGGCTGCGCAGGCAGGACGAAAGCCACTTGCACTGCCTGGGGAATCCTGCGTAAAATTAACAACAGGAAAGAAACCAGAAAGTCTGGCTCATAGTTTCAAAACTGGATTTCTTTTTGAGGGGTTCTTGTTAAGTCTTTTTTATTTAATTAATTAATTTATTTTTTTTATTTTTTTTGAGATGGAGTCTCACTCTGCTGCCCAGGCTGGAGTGCAGTGGCGTGATCTTGGCTCACTGCAACCTCTACCACCCTGGCTCAAGCAGTTCTCCTGCCTCAGTCTCGTAAGTAGCTGGAGTTACATGCATGTGCCACCATGCCCAGCTAATTTTTGTATGTTTAGTAGAGACAGGGTTTCACCATGTTGCCCAGGCTGGTCTCGAACTCTGAGATCAAGTGATCCGCCCTCCTCGGCCTCCCAAAGTTCTGGGATTATGGGCGTGAGCCACTGCACCGGGACTCCTGTTAAGTGTTTATTAATTACTATTGTTATTTTGATTTAAAACCTCTCTTGGGCATGGTCTGTCACTTTGTCCACTTGCAAAACTGCTGTAGTTTGTGTATTTCTGCAGCGTGGACTATCAGAGGCAGGCATGACCTCCAGGAGGCATGAATCAGGCCTCCAGCCTCTTCCCAGAGCCCTCAAGGACTGGCAGTGCTGGGGCCAGGGCTCCGGGACCAGCAGGAGAGCCCTAGGTGCCTTGCTTCTCCCATCTTTTTCAGCCACCCAGGTATCCATCCCGGCACAGACGGCAGACTTAGGAGGGAGAGGGACCCAGGAGGCACCCAGCTTTCTAGTCCACTGGCTCTCAAACCTGTATTCATTTTGATACCACATTGTAGGGGGTGTCTTTCAGTATAGGGATCCCACCCCCAGAGATTCCACCTAATTGGTTTGAGGGCGGCTTGGGCAATGGAAGACGGTAAACGTGCCCAGGTGGGTCTCCTGTGCAGTCAGGGTGGAGAACCGCGCTCTAGCCCAATCGGGGTGTGGATGGACAGACCCGCCCTCAGCTCAGGTGTCCTCACTCCCGCTGTGCTTTGCTGTGAGGCGGGTGTGGAAGGGCCTCCTTCCCTCCTCTCTATGCACAGGGGCTTGGGTGAGCCAGGATTGTTAGCGTGGAGAGTGAGCAGGCAGGGAGGACAAGTCTGAAGTGGGAAGCTTTGGGGAAAATGATGTGTTGTAACAGGCTTTCAAATTGTACTCGCTGGGTGAGTGGCAGGAACTATAGGCGTATTTGGTGAGGAGGAATTGCTTCTGAAAACCAGAAAGCAGGAGTCCTCGAAATGAAAGCGAATGTACGGGGAAAAGTATTCATACATTAGAGGGATTCCTGCAGCCCCTGGACAGTATCCGAGGTTGAGTGAGACCCAGGCAGGGAAAATAAGCCACATGGATGAGTATAACATTGAAATGAGAGGTACCAGGATTTTAAATTTCAGTGCTGCTTCTGAACTTGATAAGAGTATGTTTTTCAGTGAACACAGGAATCTCGCAGAATGGTTCACTTTGACACAAAAGCTCCTATCCTCAGTGCGTCTCTCCAAGTGGTCTCAGACATTGAAACTGGTGGACAGGCCCCTCCTCCTGGGTCTTGCCCAGAAGACACCCAAGTCAGAGAACCCAAGGAAGGAGGGCTCTGCAGAGGTTTACTGCGAAACATTGCAGCTGGCCCTTTTCCCTGGGAATTTTACCTTCCCACCTCCCCCATGTACTTAAGGTCCTTTAATGAAACATGTATCAAATACAACATGAAATAATTCTCCACTCTTCTGGTAACATCCTTATTCAGATTCTTACCAGGGTTTGCACCATATGTGGTCTCTGAAGTCGTAAACTCTTCACAGCTTGAAATACATCTAAAAGTCCCTCAGCTTTTACTCGCTCCAAAATGTTGCTGAGAGCTATGAATGTACCTGTTCGCCCAGCTCCGGCACTGCAGAGAAAAAGTGCTTAATGCAGATCATCCGACTTGCACTTGGGGATGAGAAACAGAGAGCTGACAACCAACCCCTGCATATCAGCACTGAAGCAACAATCGCTGAAAATGATCTCAGTGTAACTGAATTTTTTTTTTGATCATTTGTATGTAGCTTAGCTTCTGAGCAAGATTTAGCAAACGTAAAATTCCTAAGACACCTCCCTAATTACAGTAGACCAATATTTTATAAAATGAGTCAGGACCAGTGACAAGTTTTTAAGCAAGTGTCACCATTTCCCCTCTTCTTGTGTAGGGCAATGGTTCTCAAAGTGTGGTCCCTGGACCAGCAGCACGGTTGGCACCTGGGAACTTGTCCGAAATGCAAACCCTCCCAGCTCAGGTCTAGGGAGGAGGTAATCCTGGCATACCCCCTTCCTTACTGTGCCGGGGGTGTCGGTGATGCTGAAAGGGAGGGGCAGTTTAAGGACATTCACAAGCAGAAACAGTCAACTGACACTTCCCAGCAAGGCTGATTTGAGTCACCTCCATTTACCATGGTCATTTGCTGACAAACCCCACAAGAGCAGAGCCCAGGCCCTGGTAGGAGAGCCCGGGTGTACTGGGCTGGAGGAGGAGGGGTGGACCGGCCTCTTCCAGCAGGTCTTCCGGAGATGCCTGGCTGCCCTCCATGCTCCATAATCTCACGTGTGGGCTTATTCCAAGGCCTCTGACCTGCCGCAATGATCGGTCCCACATCTGCCTTCCCACAGGTGGGATCCTGTTCACCTCTGCATCTCCTGTGCCCCATGGAACTCATTTCGAGTTTATCCTAAATGACTACTTGGAAGGTGCCAGGAAAACCAAAAACCGAGGTGTGTGCTCCACCTACTGGCCAGGCCAGGAGTGCACCCCGGCGGGGTCCAGGCAGGGAGAGAGCTCTGCCAGCTATAATGGGTGGGACAGTGGGTGGGGGTGAAAGGCAGTCACAAAGGGTGGGCACCACTGGTATGAGACAAGAAATGGAACTGCAGTTTTAGGAGCACATTAGCACCATCCAAGGATAGAACACCCCAAGCTCCTGCTTGGAAGAACCTTGCCAGGTGTCAAGGTCCCTGCCAGCAGAAGTGCACAGCAGGATCAGAACCACAGAGGCACAGAAGGCAGGCGAGTGGGCGGCCCGTGGGCTTGGCCGGATTTGTGCATCTGCCCTCGGGAATGCTGTGTTTCACGCCTTCATCTGCGGATTAAGTGGTGTCCCATGTGCCCCGGGTGTCCCTCTGCCTTTGGGCCTGACTTGGGAGCCAGGCTGAGGCTACAGGACCAGCGTGGCTACAATCCCAGCTGGGACTCCTCATATGGCCAGGAATCCCAGCCAACGGGAGAGGGCGGGTGTAGGCACAGCAGCTCAGCCAGGCAGTCTCTCAAAACCTGCCCAGGAACTTGAGGTCCGGGAGTGTGCTCCTCCGAGCTCTGCCTGGCAATGTTTGATGACTTCAAAAGCACATGGAAATGTGTGTTTGAGTGATTTCCTAACTTCTCCCTCTGAAGTGCATTCTGCATGTATGTTAAGATGACATGTATGCATCTTATGTATGATACGATGACATGTATGTACTTAAGTGAAGCCGTGTGTGCGTGTGTGTAAGGAGAGGTAGAGAGGAGACGCTAGGGAATAGCATGGCCGGGGCAGCGACAAGGCTTTGCTGCCCCCAGCTGCGGGTACTGGGGGCGCGCAGCCTGTGTCCACCCCACCTGGAGGGTTCGGCTGGGGGCTCACCTGCAGTGCACAGTGATGGGGTGGTTGCCCGTCTGCTGCTGCTGCTTCTGCACGGCTGCGATGAGGTCGATCATGCCTTTGCCCTCGGCGGGAATCCCGATCTCAGGCCAGCCGTGGAAGTGAAACTGGCGCACTACTCGGACCTGCTCCTCCTGGCGGGCCTGGGGCTGCAGGGAGGAGAGGGGGTCTCAGCACTGCCTGCCTGCTGGGAAACAGGCCCCAGCCCCACCTGCCTTCTCAGGGATTGGCCAAGGCTGGGAGCCCTCCCTGAGCCTTCTGTGCTGCCAGCGTCCCCACCGAGGCAGCCTGAAGGAGAAGGCTGAAAACTGCTTGCCCTAAAGAAGGCGGCAAGTGGTTGGCTGTGCTTCCTTCTGCGAGGCGGAGCAAGCCGCCCAGAGCACATCCCCTGGAGCCCTTCGAGGACCGCCCAACCCCTACGGGATCCTTGGCAGCTCTGCTGGAGAGAAGGGAATCACTTTCTCAAGAAGGCAGGGTCCAGCCTTTCCCTTCAAAGCTCAGAGGAGCAGCATCTGAGTCTGGCGGCCGGGGTGGCTCTGTGGCTGGCATGGAGGAGACAGTGCAGGTGCATTTCATGGTACTGACCGTTTGGAGCTCAGCATCAAGTCCTGTGCACAAGTGAGTCATCCTACCCACGGCTGACCCCGAGTCCTCATTCTTTGCCAAGGAGAGAGGGTGAGCAGAACCAAGGACCCAGTGGAAATGGGGACAATTGGGTGGCTCTGAGAAGGCATCTGGAGGAGAGCCCCAGAGAGGCCCCTGTGGCTTCATTAGTCCCCTTTGTTCCTCCTGCCCCAACTAATGGCTAATATAATTCTCCTGAGAGATAAATGGGAGGTAGGTGGCCAGGGAGATGAGAATTGTACAGGAGGCCTGCCACTGTCTCTGAAACCCATTGGCCATTCATAGCCGATGGGACTATGTGAAGGAAAAGGACAGGTGCAGGGCCACATTCTGGTTCAATGACAAGCAGAACCAGGAGGGAGGGTGTGGTTCACTAAATTCACAAGGGTTTAAAGAGCTAGTTCAACAATACCTGATTGAAAGTGACCAGGAAGTCTCGTATACTGATGGCTTCTGAAAGGGTATCATTCTTTATCTCTATCGTTATTTCTCCATGAGTAACTGAGCCCTCGGTTGGCCAATACTGGTAGCATTTATCCTTAGGGGATAAAATAAAAATGTAAGTCTTATAATAAATAATTTGCTGCTGGCGATTTTGAGTTTATAATGCAGAATTGTTCTCAAACCAGTTAATGTATTTCATCTGACCAAAAAAAAAAAATGAATATGAATATAAATGCCTTTTAATGCTTGTTGACCCAGGGAACAGAACAGAGTCTAGAAACAGACACACATGTATATATGAAACCTTAACATATGGCAGAAAGGAGAGATTCTTCAGTAAATGGGGCTGGATAAATTGGTTTTCTACCTGGGGAAAATGAAATTGGATCCCTGACTCATACTCTACCAGGGCTGATGTGAGTGTCCCCAGCTCTTCCTTCACTGAGCAGTGAACACCCTGCACTTCCACGTGTAGTGGCCTTGAACCTTAATAAAAATAAACCCAGATGGATTAAGGTTTAAGGTGAAAAACAAAACTGTGAAACTCTTGGAAGAAGAAACATCTTTTCACTTTGAGGTACACAAGGATTACTAGACAAGAGCCCAAACAGCTAACCAATCATGATGCGACAATTTGAAACATTGGATTACAGTAAAATTCACTTTTCTTCATCAACAGACATCATTAAAAGAGTGAAAAGACAGGCCACAGATTGCAATAAGATGTTTGCAATATATAAAACCAGTAAAGAATTAGTATCAAGATTATGTAAAGAGCTCCTATAAATCAATAAGGAAGGACAAATAACCCCATAGAAAAATCAGTGAAAGGCAGGAACAGGCATTTGACACAAGAGGAAATATGTCATCCACAAACACATGAAGTGATGGGGTTGACCTTGTAGGAATCAGAAAGATGCAAATCAGAGCCACAAAAAGAAAATATTTACACAATAATTACACAACGAACAATATTTTGTTAATTTTCAATTAACAATCATTAGGGCACCTTGAGAATACCATACTAGGTATGCAGATGAATGATATCTCTTATACATTGCTGATGTCCACTTTGGAAAGCAATTCGGAATTATCTTGCAAATTCAAACTTTCACATACTCTTCAATGAAGCATTTTGGCTCTTTGATACATCTTAGTCCCAGTGCAGCATAAGACATGTACAAGAATATACAGGTAGGGAGAACAGACAGACACAGGGAGGGGAACAACACACACTGGGGCCAGTTGTGGGGTGGAGGGGGAGGGGAGGGCGAGCATTAGGACAAATAGCTAATGCATGCAGGGCTGAAAAACTAGATGACGGGCTGACAGGTGCAGCAAACAACCATGCGCATGTATACCTATGTAACAAAACTACACATTCTGCACTTGTACCCAGAACTTAAAGTTTAAAAAAAAGAATGTACAGGTAGCACTGTTTGTAAAACAATGAAATGAAATCAACTCAAGTGTCCATGACAGGAGAAGGAATACGTGAGCTAATGCAGGATATAGTTTGTGCGGTGGAATATAATGAAATAATGATGACGAATGAACCGCAGCATAAGCATCAACACAGAACAATATCAAAAGCACAGGTTTGAGTGGAAGAAGCAAGTCTCAGAAGACAACATGCTGTAATGATGCTCTTTATATAAAGTTCAAACACAAGTAAAACTAAACAACAGTCTCTGTAGGCATAAATAGATGTGATTTAAAAATATTTTTTAAAAAAGCAAAGAACATATCCACTAGGATGGCTTTAATCAAAAAGACAATCACAATGTTGGTGAGGATGTGGAGAAATTAGAACCTTATATATTGCTGGTGGGAATGGAAAATGGGGCAGCTACTGTGGAAAACAGCCTGGCAGGTCCTCAAAAATGTCAAACAGTAAGTTTATGACAGAGTTATGAGGTGACCTAGCAATTCCACTCCTAGTATATACACTCCTAGGTATATACCCAAGGGAAATGAAAAAGCATGTCCATACAAAAACTACAACCTGAATGTTCAAGCAGCATTTTCTTTTTTTTTTTTTTTTTTTGAGATGGAGTCTCGTTCTGTCACGTAGGCTGGAGTGCAATGGCGTGATCTCAGCTCAATGTGACCTCTGCCTCCCAGGTTCAAGCGACTCTCCCTGCCTCAGCCTCCCAAGAAGCTGGGATTGCAGGTTCCCGCCACTACACCCAGCTACTTTTTGTATTTTTAGTAGAGACGGGGTTTTGCCATGTTGGCCAGGCTGGCCGCGAACTCCTGACCTCACGTAATCTGCCCACCTAGGCCTCCCAAAGGGCTGGAATTACAGGTGTGAGCCACCGCACCCAGCTAAGCAGTGTTATTTATAATAGCTCCAAAGTGGAAACAACCTAAATGTCCATCAGCTGATGACTGGATACACAGAATGTAGTATAGCCACGCAAGGGAATACTGCTTGTCAATAAAAAAGAATGATTTACTGATTCATGCTACAACATGGATGAACCTTGAAAGCATGATGCTCAGTGAAAGAACCCAATCACAAAAGACCACACACTGTATGATTCCACTTATAATAATGTCCAGAACAGACAAACCCATAGTCAGGAAGCAGATTAGTGGTTGCCAGGGGCTAGGGAAAGGAAGGAATGAGGAGTGACTGCTAATGGCACAAGGTTTCCTTTTGGGTTGATGAAAATGATCTCAAATTAGATAGTGGTGATGGTTGTATAACTTTGTGAATATACTACAATTCACTGAATTGCACCCTTTAAAAAGATGAATTGCACGAATTATAGGTGAATTATATGACAGTAAAGCTGTTCCTTTTTAGAGCAAAGGAATAAACACACAAATACACAGCAGTAAGTATGTCTTGGGGGAGCACCCAGATAGATGTACATTGTTGGTAAAACCTTGGGTTTACTGTTGGGTGGTGAGTTCACGAGTGTTTATTATGTTATGAAATAAATGCAATACAAGAAGGCCAGGGGTGGATCTCTGTAAAAAGGAAGAGTTAACTCATTCAATTTACTAGGACAATATCCATTAGGCACACATATCAGTGCCTATGTCTTCATGTCTTGAAAAAAGCCAATAAATGTCTTTTTCTTCAACAGGTTATAATCTTGGCCAATATCAAATGGCAAAATTTCAGGGCAGGCTAAATAACATGTAGGCTAAGAATAAAGGGCAACGGGTAGCTATGGTTAAACCTCACTCCCAAAAAGGGAAAGGGTGAAATGAAACCTTTTTCATTTCCAACCTCTCTCCCTCCCTAGTGGTCCTGGCTTGGTCTCACCCATGTGTTTGCACTGAAGGCGGGTGGGACATTTGTAATGAATGGCGACAGTGCCTCAGGTGCACAGGCTGCCCCTGGAGGGCCGGGACCGGGCGGCACCCCTCACCTGCTCTCTCTCCTGCACCTCCGTCAGCATCACGATAGTGTGGGATTTCCATTCCCAGATCATCCTCCAGAAGTCCTCAACCGTGTGGGCCAGTGGCCCCTGGGTGGCGATGAAATAGTCCTTCTGTCGGTAGCCCTTCAAATGGAGGCGCAGAGGTTAACGTCCAGCTTCCTTCCATCCTGGCTCCATTACCTGCTCCCTAAGTTTAGGACAGCCTAAGGCCTAATGAGGAAAACTCTCCCATCTTCCATGGTTGGCACCAGGCCCCAGCTGGCACGAGCACTCAGGCACACACCTGACAAGCAGGTCAAGAGGCTCGCTTATCTGAAACCATAACCATCACCATCAGCCCCTGAGGTCATCAACAAATGGGTATTATGAACTGGTAGTCGCCTGCGGCCATCTGAACAGCACCTGGTGGCTTAGATTCTGACATGTTTCTGTGTGTTTCAGCTAGATCAGCATGGAGTCCCCTGGATTCTGGCACAATTTTCTCATCTGAAAATGGCAATATTAACATACACTTGGCTGCAATTCCCCCTTTTGCCCTTCTTCTGCGAACTCCGCTGTGCATGAAGACAGCCTCTGTCTGTGTGCCCTGAACACGTAACTGTATTGTCCGCGTGAGTACACATTGCAGAAATCACACAAGAGAAAGAGCACAGAGGCAATGGGTATATAACTGGTATGTAACAGATATGTAAAAGAAAAATAACTATATATACAAAGCAGAATGAAAAAAGAGCCAATTACTTAGCAGCGAGTCTATGTCCTTCCATTTCCAAAGTCTCCTTTTTTTTTTTTTGAGAAGGAGTCTCGCTCTGTTGCCCAGGCTGGAGTACAGTGGCGCAATCTCAGCTCACTGCAACCTCAGCCTCCCGGATTCAAGTAATTCTCCTGCCTCAGCTTCCCGAGTAGCTGGGATTACAGGCACCTGCCACCATGCCCAGCTAATTTTTGTATTTTTAATAGAGACAGGTTTTGCCATATTGGCCAGGCTGGTTTCAAACTCCTGACCCCAAGTGATCTGTCTGCCTCAGCTTCCCAAAGTCTTGGGATTACAGGCGTGAGCCATCATGCCTTGCCACTTTTTTTTTTTCTTTTAAGAAAGTAATTCTGCTAACAAAAATGGTTGAGTTTCTGGAAACATGTCAATTCTTTCTCATTGTGAAAACAAGCTAATCAAGTCTGTATGGTCACGTGTGAAGGCAACACATCTGCATCAACACAACCCAGGCCAGCATACTTACATCTATGAAGGATGCATTGATGTAGTCTGTGTATTCTTGACCCCTTTTCATGGAAAGGATCACTCGGTTAAAGTCATCTGCAAAGCAGTATCTTCCTTTAGTTATTACAAAAAGGGTCCCACCTTGGTAACTTTAATCCGTTGCTACAAGCTTGCAAAATATAGAGCTGATTAATAAAATCACTAGGTAAAGCCAACTCTTGGGAAAGTCTACATTATGAAAGAGGATAATTAAAGTGGCTCAAGGGTATGTTTCTTTTTGAAGGAAAACCCTGAAAACAACCCAATTATCATCTTCATTTTTCAGGAATCGATATAATACACACCAAAATACAAGCACTAAAAATATTGCACTGAAGGAGTAAATGGAATGTGGCTAAGCAAGCAACCTAGGGTGGCCAGCAGGACACCGGGGCTCCAGAAGACCAGGGGCCGGAGTCTGAAGATGGCAGGGCCCCTGGGAGCTCTACTCGCCTACAGTGCTTCGGGAGACCCTGCTGCAGCAGGCCTGCTCACAGCTGTCTCTAGCTGGTGTTTGTTGAGCTGTGACTCCATCCAAAAGATGTCTATAATGAGACACACCCTCCTCCCAAGCGGAGCATCTCCCCCTCCCTCTCTAGTTCCTCGGATCCCTGTGGAGTCTGCTTTCGGGCCGGGTTTCTCAGGTTTCTCTTTTTCTCACTTGGTGAGCCTCCCGACTCTCCCGCCGCCCACTATGTGTGGCCCTGTCTTCTTGCCAGCTTTGCCTCCTCTCCTCCTGCGCCTGCCAGGCCCCCCTTCCCTCTCCCATGACCTGGGTGGCAGACCAGTGTCCTGACTCCACCCTGGGCCCATTTCTTGTCCTCCTCAAGGCCACAGCCTTTTCCTAGATGGTCTCAGCTGAGTTCGCTTGCATGGCCTCGGCCAGGTGGCTCAGGCCCTCTGTGTAAGGGGGAGGTGGGCCTCTGCCCAGGCTGGGGGAGATAAGGAATGAGACAAGGAATCCTAAGGCACCAAGTCGTGCCTGCAGCAAATCTCCAGCTTCTGTGAAACCCTCGTCTGCAATCCAGCCCCGGCTGCCCTCCCGCACTTGCAAGCTCATGTCCTAAGCGGCTTGCCTGAGACCAGAGCAGGACTGTTTGGGTCAGCTGGTGCTTCACGGGTGTCTTTTCTACCTGATACCTGACACAGCACACAGGAGCCCTTAGCCTGGGGCCAGACGACACCCTGCTCTTTTTTTTTTTTTTTTTTTGAGATGGAGTCTCGCTTTGTTGCCCAGGCCGGAGTGCAGTGGCCGGATCTCGGCTCATTGCAAGCTCCGCCTCCCGGGTTCACGCCGTTCTCCTGTCTCAGCCTCTCGAGTAGCTGGGACTACAGGCACCCGCCACCACGTCCGGCTAATTTTTTGTATTTTTAGTAGAGACGGGGTTTCACTGTGTTAGCCAGGATGGTCTCCATCTCCTGACCTCATGATATGCCTGCCTCGGCCTCCCAAAGTGCTGGGATTACAGGCGTGAGCTACTGCACCTGTCCGCACCCTGCTCTTGATCCTGGTGCACAGGGGTAAGTGGTGAATGGCTCCTCCGGGATAAAAGCCTCTGGCACCAGCCCAACCCCAGTCCCACCCCAGCCATGCCATGAGTGCCTTACATGGGATGATCTGGATGACCCTGGCCTTCTTCATGTTTGCCGGCAAGTTGCCCGTCCTCATGTTCTCCTTCATGATCCGGACATTTGTCAATTTCTGTAGCAGAGAAGGACATAATGACACAGTTAAACCTCTGACACTCCTGAGCACATTGCTCAGTCGAGGACTAGCGCTGCTGGCAAGGGCACCTGCTCAAAGGAAACATCGCTCTCCACCCCAGGAAGCCTCCTTAGCACTGGGAAATAGAAATGTGTGCCCGGCAGGGCTGCCATGAAGCTCTGAAAGCCACCTGATCCATCTTCCCTTGTAAATCACAGCTCGGATATTGCCCCTGCTTTTTCTGAGGGTCAGTTAAGAGGGAAAGTGATTGAAAGAGGCTTCCTTTAAATGGTCACCTGTTTTCTCCATGTCCTTGGCTGCTTACACCAGAATGGAGAGGAGGGTCAGCCATACTCACCCTGAACTCCTCCTCCAGCCCGATCTTGTCGAAGTGAGTGGTGGTGCCATGCACGGTCTGCAGGTGCTTCTCCAGGGAGGACACGTCCAGCTCTGTGTCTCCATAGAGGTAGTACTCAAGTAAGGCTTGGTAGATGAACGTGTACTGCATCTGCAGAGAGGCCGGGGTGACCACATCCTCAACGCTGCCCTGCAGCCTTGGCCCACGTGGAGCTTGGCAGACCACAGGGGGTGGCTCTCTTCTTTTTCTCTTTTTGCCAACACAAGGAGGTGTGGGGCAAGAGGCAGAGTACCGGCCATGGATAATGACCACTTATGCCCTTGAGTAAGGAGAACGGTAGCAGCAGAGTCTCACATTGGTGAGCATGCCAGGTGCTGTGTACATGCGCTGTTTGGGGGAGTAGGATTGCCCCATTTCCCATGAGGATACAAGGGAAAGATGAGGATGAGGGAGTCCCCAAGGTCCTACGCATGGGCAGGGAAAGCTATGGGGAGGGAAGCCAAAGCAGACCCAGGCCGGTTGCCACGTGCCTATCAGAGCCAGGGCCCTGTACGCCTGTGTGGCCAAGGCATCTGGGTTTGCTTTGGGAGGCTAGACCAGGGCAAGAGGAAGGCATGACTCACATCCGTTTGAACCATCTGAGGGCGCTGATTACGGATTCGAGACACAAATTCAAACACATCCACCTTCTGCTCCGCGTGCATCATGGCCATCATGGCATCGATCACAATGAAGGTGCCCGTCCGGCCCACGCCCGCGCTTTGGGAAAGAGAAAGATGCTGCGTCGTGAGTCACACTCCTCCCGAAGTAAATGATAGGTCCCAAGATGCCTGCGCACCCAGGTCACTCGATGCAACTTTTTTTTTGGTTAATTAGGAGCAAAGCCATAGTGAGGCCACCAGAGGGAGCTGCGGTCTCAGTAAAGTGATCTCAGGCTGATCCTCTGATAATCACGAACACTCTACTAAGAGGCACATTAACAGCTGGTGCAGTAAGCCCCGGATTAGGCTGCGCGGATAATTTTTCTCATTTACTAAACAGTGTCTTCTTCTTATATGTGTGATTGGCATCCTAGATCTGCCCCCTTGGGAGCAGAGGGGACCTCAGATCAACTATGCAACAGCTCTGGGATCCAGCCTCCCCCTCTGTCAAACCGGGCAAACCAGGTCCCCTGACTCGGGGCATTAAATGGGGCGGCATCTGTCAGATTACTGTTCTCTGATCTGCAGATTCCTCCCAGTATGGGCTACACTGGAGGGGGGGTGGGGTGGGGTCCAGCCTCTGCTTGGCCCCAGCAAGGGAGTGTTGCTCAGACTTGGGGAAAGCCCATTCTGCCAGGGTTCCTGGACAGCTTCTCCTGAACAGCTGCATGACAGGTGCAGAGCGCCTACATCACTGCGTGCAGGTGGCTTTTGTCCCTGGCAGTGCTGTGATACTCAGGATGAATCTGTCTGTAACAGCTGGACACTTAGTATCTAATCAAAGTGATACCCTGGTGAGGCCAATCACTGCCAGGAACAAGTGGGGCTCTCTGTGGACAGGGGGCTGTGGCGTGGCCCTGGCTGTACATTTGAGTAATTTTTCGTGTTGTGCAAAGCCCACCCAGATGCAAGTCACAGGCCTCCAAGGCTGTCCTTCCTATCACAGGCGAGGAAACCGAGGATGAAGTGGCAGCTGGCAAAGGGCATCCTGGTCCTCGGACCCTGGTCTCCAGGACAGCGTGGTCTGGAGGACTCTGCTGTGGGGGCCATTCCGAGTCGTGGTGTGCTCTTCCGTAAAGACTTGTGTGTGTTGGGGGGCTTCCTGCAGAAGCCTAGTTTCCCTGGTTTCCATCTTGGTTCCCAGAGGTGACTTGGGATTCCCAGGAAGAGGTGAGGGCGGCCAAGAACCGCCCGGAACTCCATTCCCACCATCAACCGGAGCCCCTTGGCTTTGGTGGGTTTTATCAGCTGGGATGAAGAGGGAGCTCTCTGAGCGTTCTCCTGTGGGGTTCTTGGGGCCTGGCTCAGTCACTGACATTTGTGTTCACATCAGCCCTGCCCAAACCTCTGCCCACCCTGATATTGGTCCCCTGGCATTGCCCATATGAGGGTGAGTCCTCCCACTGTGGCCTGCCCTTGAGGGTCCCGCCCCGTGGCCCCCCAGCGTACCTACAGTGGACCACGATGGGTCCAGCGTGCACGGGGTTGAGCATCTTTACTTTCTTGAGGAACTTCAGCATCCCAATGGGGGTAAAAGGCACTCCGAAGTCGGGCCAGCTGGTGAAGTGCAGCTGTGAGACAAGCCTGGGAGCTTTGCAGCTGTCGGGGAGCTGCTGCGGGGGACATGGGGAGATGAGAGTGGGTACAACAATCCCCCCCCCACTTCCCCAGCATCTCATTCTGAGGATGCGGTGGGCTCCCCTGTGCTGGGGCTGCATGGGGGAGGGGCCATCTACAGGGGGCCTGCCCGAGCGAGACAGCCTGGCCCTCACCCCTGCCAACTCGGAACACGTGCTGGTTTTGGGGCCACAGGGCAGGGCCCGCAGCAACCGTCCATGCCCAGGTCAGGCAGGGCCCAAGCAGCCAGACTCATCCCCAAAGCTGGTCTGCGTGCTCACAGACCCCCGTGCAAGTGGGCGGTCATGGTCCATTTCGCCTGGACAGCCCCACCCCATGCCTGTGGTGCTAAGTAATCACCAACAGCACATCCTTCCTCGTGCAAAGCTGTCTTACATTTGGGAGGACAGACGATGCAGTCGGCCTGCTCTCTGGAGACTCCCAGACTTGCCCTCAGAGGCTGTCTCAGCTTTCGGACCCAGAGACCATGAGTTTAATTCTCTCGCCTAGATCACGGAAGGTGATACACAGTGTGTTTGGAAGTAGATACGTGTGCATGTGTGTGCACATATGCATGTGTATGTGTGCACATGTGTGCATGTGTGTGTGGGGGTTTATGCATGTGCACACGTGTGAATGTGTACACATGTATGCATGTTTATGTGCACATGTGTGTGAATGTGCATGTATGTGTGCACTCGTGCATGTATGTGTGTGAGTGTATGTGTGTGCACATGTGTGAATGTGTGTGCACGTGTGCTTGTGTGAACATGAGTGGATGTATGTGTGTGAATTTGTGTGAATGTGCGTGTGTGTGTGGGTGTATGTGGGTGCACATGTGTGAATATGTGCAGCTGTGTGCGTGTATGTGAGTGCATGTGTGCACGTGTGTGCGTGTGAAAAATGTGTGTTGGTGAATGTACATGTGTGAATGTGTGTGCATGTGTGTACGTGTGCATGTGTGATGTGTGTGGGTGTGTGTGCATGTGTGATGTGTGCGTGTGTGGGTGGTGTATGTGTATGTACATATGTGATTGTGACTGTGTGCGTGTGTACAATTCTATGCGTGTGGGTGTATGTGTGTGCATGTGCATGCATATGTGTGGGAGTATGTGTGTACATGTGCATACCTGTGTGTGGGTATGTGTGCATGTGTGCATGTGCATGCCTGTGTGTGTGTGTGCATGTGTGCATGTGTGCATGTGCGTGCCTGTGTGTGGGTGTGTATGCATGTGTACATATGTGTGCCTGTGTGTGGGAGTTTGTGTGTACATGTGTGCATGTGCATGCCTGTGTGCACATTTCTGGGAGAGATGTGAGCAGGGATAGAATGAGAATGATCAGCTCATCCTTTTCCTTTTTTGCTGTGGTTTCTTGCAATCTTAGACACTTATTTTGTGACCTAATTATGCCAATCACTCTATCTTTAAATCCTGACAAAATGGTCTTCTGTCTTTTCTCTATGGTTTTAAACTTTCTTCTACATCTTGATTTCATCTGCTTTGTATACAGATATTTTTACTGATCTCTCTCTTAAACCCTTTGGGGTGGTGGAACTAGCAGGACCCAAGTGTGGAAAATAACGAGGACATTTCAGACATAATTCAAAACGTGTTAGAAACGTGTTAGAAAAAACCCCGCCTCCAAGTTCCAGTGTGTGAAATGTCACTGTGCTACTGAGGGAGGACCCCAGACCCCTCCAATGACTGGTCTTCTTCCTGGAGAGGTCCAGAGGAGTCGCTGGGAATTAGGAGCCCCCAGCACTGCCTGCAGACCCTTGTGCACCGGCCTCTGGTGTCTTGGCCCACTTGCACATCTGCCCAGCACAGCCTGGCCACTGTACCCTCTGAGCCAGGGCCGCGACAGTGCCGGGGTGGGAGCAAAGCACTTCATAAATGCAGAAGGGTGTTAACTCTGGGCATCATGCTCTCTGAGAATGATCTTTCTGGAAGGTCAGCAACAAGAGATGCTTACTGGCTGTATGCAGAACTTCCGGATGGTGTAGTCGACCAAAACCACGCAGTCCTCCACGCACACCCGGATGTTTCCATAGGTCCAGCAGCCTTGGTCGGGCCAGTACTGATGGCACTTTTCCTGCACGGAACAATTTAATAGAAGCAAATAGATCTGTGGGTGCAATGCATCATGACATCCCTCCACCCAACCACAGAAGGCCTCACACACACCAGCTGGAGTCACACAGCTCCCACAGCTGAGAAACAGCAAGTTCACGTGTGTCTACCTCAGGAATGGGGAAACTGAGGCTGCATAACTGGTGAAAGGCAGCCTTGAGACTATGGCTAGGATGCCCCAAGGCTTTCTGATGTAGACACCAACAATGTCTCATTTCTTCATTCATTCACGAATCCCATACATTTTATTAACTGACCATCAACCAGTCATGCTGAACCTGTAACCTTCAGAGCTGGGTACCTAACTCCAAATGACCCTCAAGCACCAAGGATGGTGCTTCCCCAGGCATTTCCCACTGGATTCAGCAATTTGTGTTTTTCCTGCTCAGTTCACTAAGGACAAAGTTAATTTGCACCACTGCCAGTCTGCCGTTCAAGAGTGATGAACCTGTGATTGGCCTAATGATCTTCATATTTCTCTAGCAGGGACGAGGCTGCCGTGGAGTCTGCAGAAGAAGGTGCATTGCTACAGACAGGCGCATTTCTTTACCTTCCCAAACTCTGAAGCAAGAATGACCCAAAATACATGTTCCAGCAGCCCTTTCATTTTGCAGCACCGCGTGCAGCACCTGCCCGTTGGCGTCCTCCATCAGCGTGGACTTCACGAGTGAATGAGGACCCACCTCAATGGGGAAAAGATCTACTTCATCTGCCAGATAAACATCTCTGGAATGGAACAAGCCTGCCAATCATCGGAGAGCACGTGCAGGGAGTGGCCCCTGAGCAGCACAGCTCATGGTCAAGACTCAGGATTAACAATCTTATGAAACAAACAGCATCTGGTATTTAGTAGAGAGCAGCATCGTGTTATGACGGCCACGGACAACTTCCCCCTCCCTACTCCTGGCTCCGGGCAGGGCTGCGGGTCACAGGGCATCTCTGATGCAGCCCAGGGGAACTGCAAATGCCTACAGGTCCCGGTTTGGGTAAGTCTTGGCCCTATGGGGAGCCCTGGGGACCCTCCTGAGCTTCTCATCTTGGAAGGCTCTCCGGTAGGAACTGAGAACGTGTCAGCCTCTCAAGGGCTCAGTGTTGGTGGCTGGTTTTATACCCCCTCCCTCTGCCTCCCTCCCACCCGATCATGAGATGCCAGGGCAGCTGTGTTTTGCAATGCAGAGCCCAGGATGTGGAAGCCAAGGAAACCACAACAGAAGTGTGAGCAATTAAGAAAAAGGGAACTCTATTGAGAAATGATTTCATCTGAATTGGTGAGAATCAGGATGCAGCAGCAGCCCAGCACTGAGTCACAGGAGTGGAAAAATCCAGTAGGAGGCTATGGAGGAAGATGGAGAGAAAATGCCAGTGACATTTTCAGCAGAATGACTGAAAGGGGGAGGCAGGGGCGTCCTTGAGCCCCACTGCTTCTGTGCTGGTCTCATGCTTGGAGCACCAGCCCCAGGAAGACTAGTCCTATGAGCCGCAGGTCACAGGGAGACTCCTGGAGAAGGGTCAGCCTCCTTTTCCCTCGCGTGGGTGTCCTCCTCCATGGCCGCTACAGTGCAGGCAGGGTGAAGAGCCCTGTGCTGGGAATCCCCTACTTCCCTCTGTCACTCTTCCCCATGACAAAGGATGACAGAGGCAAGATTTGCAAGGGCAAAGGGGTGGCCCTCCGCAGCCGTGTTTCAGCTCCCCTGAGAGCAGAATGAAAGCCCCCACCCTATTCCTGACCAGAAACAGTGGCTGGAGGCTGCTTCCTGTGTTTTGGGTGGCAATTAGTAAGCTGGCACTGTGGGGACCAGAGCACCTCCCAGCCTGCCCTTCCTGTGGGCGCCTGCCACCCATCTTCTGCCCCAGCTGAGTTCCCTACGGCCTGGCAGTCCCATCTAAAAATGGCAGCCCTTCCCCACAGTCCTCGCTACGATGCCTGGGAACTGCTGGGGCCAGGCCAGCGGATGACTGAGGAGCTCAGGACACAGCAGGCCCTGAGCGGGCTGGGCAGGACACATGGCTCCCGCTGAACTGAGCCTTCAAGCCAGAACACACCAGAAGCACAGCCTCCTAATTGTCGCCCCACCTGTGGCAAGTGTCCCTCCGGCTCCCAGTTCTTCTTTCATTCTGGAGAGTGAGCTCACTGCCTATGGCATGGCTCCTTGCCTGTCACTCAACACCCGCCCCCCCGCCACAGGCTTCCCACAGCCCCCACTTCTCAGCCCTGAATTTCAGCCCCCATTCCTTGCACCTGGGACAGAGCTGGCCCAGCACAGCAGATGCTAATGAGTACTTGTTACATTAGGAAACGAATCAGTTCAACTTTTCTTCTTTGTCAATGATTCAAATTCTTATAATGTACATGCATCCTTTTTTGAATTAGAAACAGCTAATTAAATATATTTGGATGACAAATCAACATTTCTTCAATATACCATGTTTTTCAAATGCATTTCTCTAGTCTGGATAATAAGCGTGAAATCATGTTCATTTCTAGTCTGAGGTCTGCCGCATGACACGCTCAACATCCTAAAATTCTAACTTCTAAGATTCATGTCTCCCACCAGGCAGGCAGAGCCTGGGGCTGGCCGGGGGCCACTCTCACTTGGGAAAAAAGGAAACTCTTGTGTCATCGTGTTATCACAGATTAGATAACAGTGAGATGCTGGGGAGACAGGGGATTTGTTTCGTGATGAAAATGCTGTCAGCCACTGCATGTGTTTGGGTGCTCTCTGCAGTGATAGTGGGAGGAAGGGAGGGAAGTAGGAAGGGGAAGTGGTAAGAGCATCCCCAGCCCGGCAGCAGCAGCTGAAAGGAAGTGATACCAGGGTCAGATGCCTGGAACTCACCTCTTTCCTTTCTTTCAAGTTCGTTAACATGACGATGGTCGCAGACTTTTGCTCCCAGACCATTCTCCAGAAGTCATTAACCGTTTCCTGTTTGGGGCCTGTGTGTAGAGGACAATTCCGAAGTCAAAAGGCATGAAGGGAAGTCGCTTTGGGGTCCCAGCCCCGGCACCCTGGCCATTGGCCCCTGGATAGCTGTTCACTCCCTTCTCAGGCTTGTTGGGGACACACACGTCATACCCTGAAGTGTTCCAGAACTGGTAGGGGCTGCCTGTCCTGCCACTCACCCACTCCAGCTAGGAACTCCTCAGTGGGCAAGATAATTGGGCCCAGGTTGAGTTATGACATTCACAGGTAAGAAGCAGGGTTCAGAGGAGGGCTGGGTCCACAGCCAAGTGTGGGAGAGCTGGTGAAAGCCTTGGGAGAGGCAGAGACTGGCCGGCCTCCCCCTGCATTCCCAATCCCCTCCTTTTTGTCAAAATCTTACTCTCAGCATGGTGCTGTTCAATACGATATGAGCTCAAGTCCCTCCGGAAGGGATCTGACCAACAGACAAAGTGTCACTAGGAGAAAGTCCTCTGCCCCTGTCCACTTTCTGTCTGAGCTGCGGCTATTTTGCAGCCCCGAGCTAAGTGCTTCATGCTGAGGGGGATGGGCCGGGAGATAAGGAAGCCCCTGGCCCTGCTGCTGTCCCACTCTGGCCTGACTCCCTGTGGGTGTCTGCTGGCAAGAGAGAAACACATGCTTTCATCTGTTTCAGCCAGGATCGTCAGGTTTCCTGGGGTTTCCAGCTGGGCACATTCCTGATGTCCTCTGCATGTGCACATGCGTGTCCTTTTTTCTTAGAGATTCTGCATTTCTAACAACTTCCCAGGTGATTTTGACACACGGTGAATTTCAGAGCTCATTGCCCTAAAGACTCCTGGCCTAAGAGTAAGGAAGTCTGAGGAATCTGGTTTCAGCTCCACTGATACCTAACTGCATGTGCACCAGGTCCTGCAGATGACAACCTCTGGTGGAACGGAGTGATGCTGGATTCAGTACTCAACACACAAGGGAGAGCCAGCCCTGTGCAAGGTGAAGGGCATGTTTTCACGGCTGAAGTATCTTCTTGGTTATGGCCTTGATCTGAAAAGCTACTCACCCTACTACCCACCCCCAAACTTTGGGGCCATGTAGGGCTCAGCCAGCTGAGAGAAATTCAAGGTTACCTGATGCAAGTATTAACATGCTGGAATGGCAGCCGGGGCCACTGCATGCCCTGTGTTCACACCGTATAGGTGTGGGAATAAGTGTGTGTTTCTCTGACTGTATACACATATCCGTTGTGTGAATGGATTTCTAACGTGTCTGTTAGGTGTAAACACGTGCACAAAAATCCAGTGTAAGTCCTTGGTCTTGTTGGCCTACAGACAAGGAAATGAGAGCTATTCACATCATTTTACCAAAAATACGTTCAGAAATTAATAAAAAGCTTACCTTGAGCTGCTATGAATTTATTCTTCTCTTTGTAACCCTAGAAAAAATAACATCAGATTTATATTTTTTCAGAATTATCTTTGCTGAAAGGATTTGTTGTTGCTGTTAGAAAAGCAATACATATTCACCGCGGAAAATTTGCAAAACACAGGAAAATGTTAAGAAGAAAAGAAAACTCACCAGCAATTCCAGAAATAACAAATCCTATTTCATACATCCCCTCTCTAGTCTGTTTTTCTGCAAAACCTTTCCCAGACTCACACACAAGTAGAGAGGTGCAGACATTCTGTCCTCTAATTGGGTGAACATGTACAATTTATTTTATGTTGCATTTTTAATGAGAATTTTATAATTTATATTAAATGATCTCTTAAAGATCAATACAAATGGAGTTCTAGTAATCCACTGCACATGGTTTTACCACAATCTGTTTAAGTGCCCATGCTTCCTGTTCTATTTGGTCAGGAATATACATAATGCTGCAATGAACATCCTCTGTGCTTATCGCTGTCTCTCGAAGTCAAATTCCCAGATGCTGATGCTAGCTTGTAAAGCATGGGCAGTTCTGTGCCCTTTGTGCTTGTGGCCAAACTGCCCAGAAAGGTTGTGACAATTTACACTCCTGGCACCAGACAAGAAAGTGCTCACTGGTCATGCCTCAGCTGGGCTAGGGGAATAGGAAACCTCTGCCCACTTACATCTATGTAGGAAGCATTGATGTAGTCTGAACAGGGAGTTCCATCCACTTGGCTCAGAATCACTCTAGAATGGTCATCTGGAAAAAACCCAAACAAAGCCAAGATATTAGGACCAGGAATCACAGTGCTGTCTCTTCATCTGCAGTGTCAGCTCCTGGGAAGGGAAAAAGTAGCTTCACGGCCACACCGGGGGTGGCAGAGATGCTCTTCCTCAACGTTCCCATGGAGACCACTGGTGTCCCGAGAGAGAACGCACCTGCTTTGGTGAACACGGACTGGCTCAGCTGTGGGATGCCGACAAGGGTAGGATTTCAGTCCCCAGGACGGAGGCCGCTGGGTCATTACATAGACAAGAACAGCAGAATGTGCTGGGCCCCTGCAGTGCAAGGGCTGTATTTCATGAACCGTGCACTGGGCCCCAGTATTGCCAAGTGTGGATGCACTTAAAAGAGCCCCAGGACAGAAGAACTGGGTCCACTCTCTAAGGCTTCCCAGGGAAATGAGCACCAGCCCCATGAGGACAAGTGGATGTGGGGGTCTAGGATCGGGGACTCTAACCCTCAGTCCCACCACCAGAGTCTGCCCCAGGGCTGGAAGGCGAGCGCACAGTGAGGAGTGCCTGGTAGATCCAGCCTGTTGCACAAGCGGTTTTCTGGGGTGGAAGGCTGACCGTGGAGTGCTGTGTGTGGGGTGTGTGTACACGTCTGGATGTTTGTGGTGTGACTGGTGTAGTGTGTGAGCCTGATGTGTGTGGTGTGTATACTGGTGCAAGCATGTGTGTTGTGCGTTTGTGGTATCTGTATGTAAGTGTGGCATGTGCTGTGTGTATTTTTGTGGTATGAGTGGTGTAGCGTGTGTATGATGTGTGTGTGGTGTATATTTTGGTATAAGTGTGTTGTATGTGGTGTGTAGTGTGTGGTATAGTGTGTGTGGTATGTGTGTAGTGAGTGTGGTGTGTGTGTATTGTGTGTGTGGTGTGCATGTGGGTGTGTATGTGTGGTGTGTGTGGTGTGTATGGTGTATGTGTGTAGTATGTGTGTAGTGTGTGCTGTGTGAATGTCTGCATGTGGGTTTGGTGTGTATGTGTAGTGTGTGTGTTGTGTATGTGTGTAGTGTGTGGTATGTGTGTGGTGTGTATGTGTGTGGTATGTGTGTGGTGTGTTTGTGTGGAGTGTGTATGTGTGGTGTGTGTGGTGTGTGTGTAGTGTGTGTGTATACACACGTCAGGGCTCCATCATGACTTTTGTGGGTCGCAGTCACTTCTGCCTTCCCACCTTCCTCCATAGAACTATCAAGAAGGTTATCTTAGGACTGGGTTGGTCGCTAGTGAAAAGATGCACTCCAGAATGGGTTTTGCATATTTTGTATGTGATCTGAAGAGAAATGAAGACGTTTTCATGGGCCTCTAAAAGTGCTGTAGGCCTGGCCCTGCTCTTTCTGTGACCTTTCCCAGGAACGTCCAGCTGGGCCAGGCTGGGACAAGGCCTGTTCTGAGGACGTTTATGCTGCACTGGCCACAGAGTCTGGCACGTGGTAGAAGCTTAGAGCCTCCTTCCTCAGTGTTGAGTAACTCTAGGTCCTCTCCCTGCTTTCTCTGCTTAGTCCTCGATCAGGGTGGGTTGTGTTTGTGGCGTTTGTGTGTGTTTATGGCGTTTGTGATGCGGAGCCGGGTGGCCCCCAGGTCATTCCTTGTCTATCTCACCTTCACCTGGAAGGCTGCTGGGCGGGCCGCGGGCTAGTGGCCTGGGACCCCCGATGGCTAAGCCAGCTCCGTCTGGCTCCCTGCAGAGAAAGGGCAGGTACCGCTCTCAGAGACAGCCATAGCCCACACAGGGTGGCCAGGGAGTCAGACCCCAAACTTACAGTCCTGCAGACCTCACTGTGAGACCCTCCTGCTCAGGGAGTGGCAATGCCCAGGCAGAAATAGCTCTGCTGAACACATTACACTGGTTGAAAATAATTTGGAATGGTTTATGCTTTGAGAACAGCTATAGAAAAGCACAGGGTAAAATATAGCCTTCTGCTTAGATTTAGAATCTTGCAGTTTCTAAGAGCTTCCTGTCTTTTTATTCTAAAAAGTCACACTTCACATTCAAAACATTGGTTCCTAAAATTATCAGCTGTTGGCACTTTTCCAGAAAAGAGGCCTCGCTTGCCATCAGCCACAGTCTTTCTATAGGCAGAAGTCAAGCCTGCCTGACATGCAAAGCACCTTGACTTCTGACCCCAGAGCTCCCCAGGGCCACAGGCCTGCCCAGAGCCAAGGGCCACATTAGGACTCTGTTGAAAGATTGGGAAAGACAGGGAAGGTGCCAGGGGCTGGGGAAGTTGGGTCCCTTCTCCCCTCTCCCCCAGGTGACTCTCAGTCCCACCCTAAGTGATACTAGGGGATGTCACCCTGGGGGCGGATGAGCAGCCCCGAGAGCTCTCTGCCCGATGTCCCTTCAGCCTTAAGTCTTCCTGATAGCTAATGCCAGATGCCACCCCATTAATCCTTGACCAGGCCACAGCGTCTCCATGCCACTGTTCTGTAAACCCGTCTTTCCACCTGTGTGAAACACGGCAGAGTCCCCCAGCCCCAGGAGGCTGCCTGGGCCCTGGGGTTCCCATGGTGTGGTGCTCCTGCCAGGAGCAGGGGAAAGATCTTACGGGGGAAGCTAGAAAAACTCATTCTGAATCTGACTACGATTTCAGGCTTGGAGGAAACGCTAACTGACTCCCGTGGCACAACCTAGAGAACGCGGCTCAGAGAAGACTTGAGAATGTGGCTCAGAGAAGACTTGCAGTGGGTGGGCCGGGCCTCTCCCAGGTGGGGGACTCCTAGGTGAGGTCCCTGCTCTGCCCTGGGCCATCACACCTTGAGGAGGGGACTGGGTGTACGTAATGCCCACACTTGGCCATGATTCTGCTTCCATGGAGGTGCCAAATAAATAGTCTTAATTAACAATATGATGTTACCTTTAAGGGATGAAGGTTTACTGATTGAGAAAAATGAGGAATTCAGGAATGTGCTTAGCACTGAGCGGTTTCTTAACTCGTATGGTTGGCAAATCAAGGCACAACTTAAAACCACTCAATTAAGGTAATAAATTAAGCATTGATACTAATTTTGAAATATCCCACATTTGACACAAATTATTCTAAAGATCTCAGACCTCCTCCTGCCACAGCCTTCCTTTCCTTTGAGCTGCTCAAGCCATGTAAGTTGCCTCCCCTCTTTCTGTGATATCTTCCACCCATTGGCAACAAATCCCCTCCAAAGCGTGCAGGATCTAGCCATGGTCTGAGCCACTGTCAAGGCCTCCTGACCCATCTTTCTGGTGTTGCCTTGGCCACCCCTACACATATGTGTTGACTGAAAGACTAGTTGACGGATTTCTCCCAGTTTTCATTGGATCATGGGTTCACAATGGGTTTTGTAAAAACCACATGTCAATCCTATGCATGTAAAATGAGACAGAGTTATTTCTAAAAAGTGCACAGTTTGGACAGACCACAGATCGGATAGACCATAGCTGCTCTGACATACAGAACAGGTGAAGTCAATTCTAGTCCGAAAAATGCAGCAGTGAGCAGCCTTCCGGGGCCCACATGGGCTGCCTTCCTCCATCCCACCGAGGCCCTGGCAGGGTGGGGTGACTCCCTCTGTGGACCAGGGGGAGGCCGCAGGTTCAGGATTTAGACCTGAACTTAGTGGAGCCCTTTGAGGATGCCATTTTGTTAGCCTCATGGGCAAAGCAGACGATGGGAGGGGCCCAGGTGGGGTGAAGGATCCCGAACTGCACCCCCCAACCCCCGCCGCTGGGCCAGCTTTTTTTTTTTTTTTGAGATGGAGTTTTACTCTTGTTCCCCAGGCTGGAGTGCAATGGCGTAATCTTGGCTCATGGGAACCTCTGCCTCCTGAGTTCAAGAGATTCTCCTGCCTCAGCCTCCCAAGTAACTGGAATTGCAGGCGTCCACCACTATGCCTGGCTAATTTTTTGTATTTTTAGTAGAGATGGGGTTTTACCATCTTGGCCAGGCTGGTCTTGAACTCCTGACCTCAGGAGATCCACCTGCCTCGGCCTCCCAGAGTGCTAAGATTACAGGCATGAGCCACAGCACCTCGCCCAGGCCAGCTCTTACAAAGGCAGCTCAGAACCTACAGGGTTTGTCTTGGCACCAAGACAGGCTATGAAAGCTGCCCCCAGGTCACCGAGACACGCCCCCGCACACATCCATCTGCTCCCTGGCCCTGCCACCTTCTGGCACCCATGCTTCCCAACCCATGCCCACTTGTACTGTTGCGGTTAAATCAGGTCGATTCAGAGCCTTCCTACAAAGCTGCGGCCCACCTACAAGTTTCATATTCTGTCATTTTTGTCCTTGGTCCAGGACCCCAGACAACTCTAGGGATTTGCAGTTTGCGGCCACAAGCACTGAGTCTGAGGGAAGGGAGTTGCCCAGGGCCACTCGCAGGCCTAGACTGGGTGCCAGGCCTGAGTTCCATAGGAGAGGCCCTGCCAGCTGGCACCCATGGCCACAAAACAGCACCTTACCTGCTGGGCCCCAAGCAGCCCAGGTCTCAACAGTAAGCACAGGCTTGGCAGCCAGACCCACCAGCAACCAAGGTGCCCAGGGCCTGTGCGGGGAGACTGCCACCTAGAGAGGAACATTCTGGAGTCCTAGGTGCAAACGCTGAGCAGTTAGACAGATTTGGGGCCTCAATCTTTGGCCTCTGAGCACAGGAATGGCCCGCAGTCATGGGGAGCTGCAAGGCAAAGCTGAGTTTAGTGCAAACACCATTGATCATGCAAAACATAAAATAAAATCTTACTGGGAAGGATGTTGGGATATCTGTTTTTTTCTCTGTTTTCTTCTTTATTTGCCAGTTCAAAAGTTCCTTGTATGTGTCCAGATGGCAATGACTGGAAGAAAATGTAGCATTAGTATGAAATGTGATGGTTTCAAGCACCATGCCCATGTCAGTTTCCCTACTGAACACAGGAATTGCGAAAACACGTGGAGCAAACTACCTGCTGTCCATAGTCCATCTCTGCCTCAGACCTCGTACCAGGCACGGGGCAGAGAATGAAGGAGACACAGACCCTGGCTTTCCCCAGGGTGCTCTCTCTTGTGGGGTGAACAGCGGTGTGGTCAAAGTGACGGTCTCATCAGCCAGACCCTACGCTGCATGAAGGTGGAGACTTGCCTTTGCGTTTCCATGGTATCTCAGGGCCCACAGGCCCGGGCCTAGAGCAGGCGCCTGTGATTTGGTAAGAACTGACTGCGACAGAGCTGTGAACTGGGAGATGGGGGAGCGAGGACAGGCACGCAGAGGATTTACAGTGGGATGCTGTGACTTTGGGGCTGAAGGATGAATAGAGTGGTTCTGGGAGGTGAGGGGTGGGAAACGGCCTTAGATACAGTCCTGATCTTGCTTAAGACTCCAGGCGTGCTCTGTGGACCAGAGCATGGGCATGGGCACGCCTGGGAGGGTGCTTTTTAGAAATGCAGACTCTCTGGCCGCACCCCAGACCCACAGAATCAGCAGGAATATTACCATGATCCCCAGGGCTTCAGTGCACACGTCTTTGGGAAGCACTACCCTAACTAACTCCTTTGTCCCAGTCAGGGAAGTCAGGTGTGAAAGGAATGCCGCCGGGCCCCTATCCCCTCTGAGCAACATAGCTGAGTGTGAACTCTAGTGGCCTGAATTCTAGTTCTTTCTGCCGCCTGGAGCCGCCACCTCTGATTCCTGGTCACCTCCAGCTGTCTTGCATCTGCTTGCTGCTCAGGTGAGCTCCCCACAATGCATAGTGTGAAGATCCTCTTGAAGCCCTGAGTCCTGTCCTTTGACATTACACCCAACCAGTGGCTGGACCCGGGGCCACTGGGATTCCAGTAACATGTATCAATATGCATCGAGCGCCTCAGTGTGCCAGGTACGGTGGAAGGAGCCGGGTCATCTGCCCCAGCCTTCGCAACTCACCTACTATTAGGTGATACTAGGATGGTCCCCGTTTTATGGGTGAGGAAACTGAAAGCCAAAGCGAGGTGTTGTAGATTTGCCCAGGGTCACCCAGCGAGCAAGGGGCAGGAGCCTGGAGCAGCGCCCAGACCACCAGGAGGATGCCCACTTCTTCAAATGTGGGAGAATGTGAGGGGTCCGCTGCAACCACCCAGGAGAGCGGAGCAGGCCTCACTGTGTAGCTTTGGATCTAAGTCATGCAGGCCTGGGCTTGCTCACAACGCGGGGCAGGGCCTGACCTGCCGCCCACAGGTGTCCCGAGCCTTCCTCTCCCGAGGGCAGGAAGCTTCTCCAATTGCAGACTCAGATCTGACCAGCCGGTGCCCATGGTGGGGCACCATAGGCCACCCTCTTGCCTCTGCTTTGGAGCCACCAAACCCCATGGCCACAGGATGAGGCCCTTCCAAAAAGCAGAGGCAAGAGGGTGGCTTATGTGGAGGGACCTGCCTGGCGGCACTGTGGCAAGGGTGATGGGTGGTTCTCGGCCTCATCCCCAGCCACAGCACCTACGCCGCCTGGGTAGTTCCTGATTCTTCATCAGAGCCATCTTCATACTGACCTTCTCGACCTAATCTAAGCCTGACATCTGTGGTAAAATTCTAAAGCCTTCTCTTTTTCTACGCGCGAAAGCTTTTTTTGGCCCCAGCACTGAAAATACACAGGAGGCGTGATACCGGATGGTGTGTACATGATACTGTGCATTTGTCAAATCCCACAGCACGCACAACACACAAACCCTGACGTGTGGACTTCTGCTAGTAACAACAGTGCAGTGTTGGTTCATCAGTTGCAGCAGTTGAAGCACACGAACGCAGGAAGCTAATCATAGGAGAAACTGCTCGCAGGGGAGGAAGGGGCATATGGGAACTCTGTACTTTCTGTGCAATTACTCTGTACAGCTAAAACTGCTCTAAAATAAAGTCTGTGAAAAGATAAATTAGGCCAGGTGTGGTGGCTCACACCTGTAATCCCAGCACTCTGGAAGTCGAGGAGGGCAGATCACCTGACGTCAGGAGTTCAAGACCAGCCTGGCCAACATGGTGAAACCCCGTCTCTACTAAAAATACAAAAATTAGCTGGGCGTGGTGGTGGGCACCTGTAGTCTCAGCTACTTGGGAGGCTGAGGCAGGAAAATTGCTTGAACCTGGGAGGCAGAGATTGCCGTGAGCCAATCTCTGTACGGACCCCAATACCAAATCCTTTTCATCCCCACCAAGTTTGCCCGCACTTTGAATTGGTAATGCACACATGTCAAAACTCAACTGGATCGGCCACTTTGAGACTCCTGTGTCTCCCTTTAGTGTCTCCCTTTCATGACTTTGGGGAGAGGAGTTCAGATCAGAGGGCAAGAGAAAAGAAAGATGGGGTTGGGAGCATGTCCCACTTAGGATCCGAGGGAGAGCTGGCCATGGCAGGCTCCAGTGCTCTCAGAGGACGGGTGCTGCATGAACATGGTCTCAGGACATGGCCAGCCCTTCACTGGACAGATGAGGAAAAAGCACAGCCTGGGCAACACAGTGGGACTCCATCCCTACAAAAAATAAGTAAAAAGCCAGTGGGCATGGTGGCACATGCCTATAGTCCCAGCTACTTGGGAGGCTGAGGTGGGAAGATCACTTGAGCTGGGAGGTTGAGGCTGCAGTGAGCTGTGATCAGGCCCCTGCACTCCAGCCTGGGAGACACAGTGAGACCCCATCTCAAACAAACAAACGAAACAGTGACAAAAAAGCAGCTCCCCCAGGGTTCCCCAGACACAGGATCAGGCTCCGTGATCCTGACTCCGGGTCCAGTGTTCTTCCCCTCCACCGCATCTCTACCCTGCCTGTCACTGAGCAGAGGGACTCCAATGTTCAGCCAAGGGCCACACAGTGGCAGAAGAGCATGAGGGACTTCCTCTGGGTGCAAAATTTAATGGGGTGCCCCCAAAATTCCAAAACCAGGGGAAATTATATTCAAATGCAATATTTTTAAAAGTCCAAATCAAGGCACAAAATCTATGATGAACAAAATATGAAAGTTTTAACTAATGGCAGGGTGAGTAGCTGTGTGGTGACAAGCCATATGTATCAGGGCCCAGGGCAACAGGGAAAAACCGTCAGCCCAAGCCTGTCTTCCTTTATGGTCATGCTATTTTCTTCACCAGGGGCTGCCTGCATCCATTTTGACATTTTATTTGCTACCTTTCCTGTGTTACCTTTCCTGATACTTTTGATATTTTAAGTGTTGTGTTAAAATATCATTTATCCCACTACTGAGCTTTTGGTGCTGCCTTAAATTTTGTGCCTGGGGTGAATGTCTCACCTACCCCACCCTATTCCCGGACTCCCTCCCTGGGAGTGGCCCCCACTTTTGAGCTGGTTCTGACTCAGACACCCCCATCAGCAAGCCCAGCCCCTGCCACTTGGGGAAACAAAAGTGCAAGGGGAAACAGGATAAGAAGGGTGGGGAAGGGGATCTGCTAGCTGAAAACTTGGATAGTTATTTTGAAAATGAGAAGGTCTGTTGTCAGGCTGAGAGATTGCAACACAATAGTGCTTGAAGCTGTCTTTCAATATGACCTCATTTCTCCAAAAAAGGGGACACATTTGGAAACAATAAAAAGGAAGCGAGATAAAGGCAGAGGAGTCTTGTGCTAAAAAAAACAAGCAATGTACAGTTTACATGTGCCACCACCTTCCCGTGCCTTCACACTTTGCTTCTGGGTTAAGTCCCATGTCTGCAGCAGAGTTCATGCCATCTTCAGATATAACAACTGCACAACACTTGTTTACAATATCCATCGTCTCAGCCTCCCATTCCAACTTCAAGGTAAATAAGACAGGCCCATCTCCATTGCCCCTTCCTAGGTGGTGGAAGACAACTTCAAGGAGATTAACTGACGTGCCAGGGCCAGCATGCAACAGGCATAGCCAGGACCAGTCAGCAATTCTGCTGAAAACCTATCCTCTTTACAATCAACACTCAGCACAGCCACATGCAAGAAGGTGAAGATGCATAAAATTCAAAACATAACCAAGGATAAATACTGAATAGCAAATCCAAGACAACACATCCTCATATCTGTTTGTCTACTTCTCTATCTGCCCATTCATCCATGAACCATCCATCCGTCTGCCCTCCCACTCATCCATCCATCATCCATTCATCCATCCATCTGCCCTCCCACTCATTCATCCATCCATTCATCCATCCATCCATTCATGCATCCATCCATTCATGCATCCATCCATCCATCCATCCATCCATCCATCTACCCTTCCATTCATCCATCCATCCATCCACCCTCCCACTCATCCATCCATCCATCCATGCATCCATCTATTCATCCATCTGCCCTCCCACTCATCCATCCATCATCCATCCATCCATCCATCCATCATCCATCCATCCATCTGCCCTCCCACTCATCCATCCATCCATCCATCCATCCATCCATCCATCCATCCTCCCTCCAACTCATCCATCCATCCATCCATCCATCCATCCATCCATCCTTCCGCCCTCCCACTCATCCATCCATCCATCCATCCATGCATGCATCCATCCATCCATCTGCCCTCCCACTCATCCATCCATCCATCCACCCACCCACCCATGTTGATACACAAGCAGATATAGCTTGTGTTCCCTCAAGGCAGCTCACAGCTGCTTCCTTAATGCTGAGGTGGTGGTTCAGAAGAGGAACATCGCCTACTCCGATTAGATGCTCCAGCTCTTAGAAGCCATGAAAGGATGGTTTGGGGCTCTGTTGCTTTCACCATGATATTGTCATATTGTGCTGTGCTCAGGCCCTAGCCTTCTACATTATCGAGATAACAGTGTTTCTGTCACAGTTGATTTTAAAACTTGACACTCAGAGTGTGGGAGGTGGAAAGAGGCTTCACAAACCTCTAACTCAACTGTCTCATCTTATAAATGAGGAAATATGCATTGGCGAAGGGCATTGCGCCACAAACCAGGTTTCCTCCCACGCCCATTCATGGGACAGTGTCGTAACCAATGCAAGGGTTCTGAGTCTTTGGGATAATTCTTCCTGAACTCTAACACTGGATTTCACAGGTCTTGACCACAGGGCACCCAGCAGGGGGCCCCTCCCCACACTCACGTTGAACTCCTCCCGAAACTGCTTGCAGTCGTCGGCGGATCTGATACGGATCTCCTCCTCTAGGTGCTCCACAGGGATGGGAAAGTACTTCTTGGGCCCTGAGGGCGACCTGCTGAGCAGCATCACCCTTTGCTGCTCTGTGGGATCAAAAGAAACATAGGGGCCATTGAGCCACATTCCTAGACAGGTGACTGAGTAACCAAGCTGACCAACGACATTCCTGAAGAAATGACCAGGCTGGAGCTGGAACGGTTCTCTCAAATCACATAGCTGGGCTAAGCTGGGTCCCGAGCAGCTTATTCCAAACACTCGACTCCTATGAGGCATCCACATCATTTACAAGTGACAGGCGTCCCTCTGCCCAGTGTCACCTGCTCTCCCTCATAGGAGACACCCTGTCCCCCTCCCTAGGCCACTCATCCACCCACCCTTCTGCCTCTCCTTCCCTCCAGCCCCTGTTCCTTCTAAAAAAGGATTCAAGATTGCCTCATTCTCCAGCTCAGCTTTCCAGGTTTGGAAATAAGAAAGAGTAATTATGGCTTCTGGGAGCAAACTCAGAACAGTCTCTCTCAGCCTTTTCTTCTTCATAACAAATATTCCTGGTTCCTCAAACCCCATAAGCTCCAAGGGAAAACCACCCTTGTCTGGGGAGGGTGACAAGGGGCATCGAGAAGGAGAAGTACACATTATAAGGGAGTTCTTGGACACATTCCTTCCCCAGGTCCGGAATGAGAGGCAAGAACAGTCATGGGCATGTGTTTCTCTTCCTGGAGGATGAGCTGATATTGACAACCCAGCATGATATCATGGGTCAGCACGATAACCCAGCTGTCACACTTGCAAAAGGGCCTGTCCCTACCTGCAGAGCCATTCTGAAGCCCAGTCAAAAACTTCACCCAAAGCTCATTCCTCTAAGTGACAGACAGGATCAGAATGAATGACGCTGAGCTGCCTTGCTACTCACCAGCCGCACCCTCTTCCCTCCCGTTCCTGCCGTTGAAACGTGCAGGGCAGGGAACCGGGGGCTGGAACAAGGGCAGGAAGACAGCACCTGGGGCCACATTATCATCTAACCAGGGGCTCGGGTCCCACGAGCACCAGGAGGCTCCATTTCAGCTGGTCCTTGTTAGTGATATTCTTTTAATTATCTAAGGTCCGTTTGAAGAGTCTATTTTAGTCTGACAGCACGTGTGTTCCCCCAAACCATAGAACTGATTACAGTTAGGTAGGAAGCTGACTCCAGGAAGTTGTAGTCACTGGGGTGTGAAGTAATATTTTTGTGGCCTCTGCCTTACACACGTTTCTCGGTCATCTCATCTCGATGTATGGAGAGAAAAACAATGTTCCGTTGTAAGTAGCAACAACAAGTGAGAAACTATACTTCTGACCGAGAAGTTGGAAATGCTCCCAGCTGACTCTGATGCTCTGTAAACATGAAGCACTTTAGTAGAGCAAGTCCCTTTTTCCAGCTTGATCCTAAAGCAGTACAAACCCAGTTGAATAGTTTATGAGCCAGACAGTCTTATCTGAGAACCATTGTAAGGCCTCACTGAAAAGTGTTACATGTCAATACCCTGTGAAAATGACAGGATATGAACAGTCTCTCTAAAAAAAGCCACAAACAAAAATGTCTCAAACGTCCGTGTCACGCCAGAGAGAAAATGATCCTCAAAGTTTTGAAATAGTGAAATTCTAAACGACAGCATCATACCAGGTAAAGTGAGATGAAAGTGGCAAGGCACACCTCAAAATTTACTTTGAATGTTAAAGAGAGAAAGCACGTCAGTGTCTGTTAAAAAAGAACACATTTTTCCCCCAAGCCCCAGCCAGATAGGAGCTTCTGTACCTTGCTCCTCCAAGATTCCGTTGGGCATCTTCTTGTCGCTGGCGCTGACTACTGCTTTCCTCTGCTTCCTGAACCTTAGAGACACAGGACTTGTTAGGTTTCCACACTTCCAGGTTCCCTAAGAGCCAACAGCGCTCGGCACAGTGATACCCACCAGGTGAGCCGGGAAAAGCTACTCCTGTTGCTCATGGCTGAGCCGTGCTAAGGCCTGGCCTCTGTGTGTCTCCCAGGCCCAGCCACCCAGCCTCCCAGCTGCCCTCTGCTGCACGGCCCACGCCCGCAGCATCAGAAGGCTCATTTCCTCCTCTGAGCTGGTTGGGGCAAGTCAGTGCGCCAGGACACTCCTACCTGAAGAAGTAGGCGGCGAGAAGGAGCACGAGGAGGAGCAGCAGCAGCGGCAGTAGCAGCCAGGCCAGCAGTGGCTGGGAGGCACCTGGGTCCGGAGGGCCTGCAGGAGAAGCAGAAAGACCCTAACCCCTGACCTCACTTCACAGTTTGCACAAGAGTCCCCCTCCATGAGCTCTTCTTCCTGGACACCAGAACCCCACACTATAGTTTGCAAAGTGGACCCATCATCCTGAAAAGGCCCCACGAGATAACAGAGAAGTAGCTTTGGTTGTTGCTGTTGATTCAGAGAAAGAGCCCAGGTCTGAGGAGTGGGTGAGGTGACTTGTCCAAGATCCCTGGGGCAGGCATGACAGGGGTGAGCTCCGCAGACCCCCACACGGCCTGGCTGCCTGGCTGCCTGGCTCTCCTGCTAAGAAGCTGGAGAAGGGTGAAGGGGCCGGTGTCCACTGCAGGGCCCTAAGACAGTGTGGGAGGCTGAATTGGCATGGCTCAGCTCTCAGGGCCCCCTGGGCTGGGCAGGAGCTCTGGCATAGGGAGGCAGCCAGCCCCTGGGGCTGGGTAGAGGCCTGTGGCCCCAGTGCACTGTGACCCCACCTTCCAGAGCCTCCAGGTCCCAATTCCACGTGTCAGAGGCCGAGTGCCCAGCCACCACCTGCCTCTTATTCTGTCCTTTGTACCTTTGTCCTTTGACAGGTTGACCTTCCTCACCTGGAAAGAGACCGCAGCTCCAGGCCCAGCTCAGCGGTTTTGTTGCTGCTCAGGACCTGCCCCTGGCTCACCAGCCCAAATTCCAAGGGGCCCTGGTGGCCTCGCTGCCATCTTTGGACCCCACCCACTCTCCCAACGTCGGACTTTGTTCCTGCTCCTCCCCAGCCGGCCACACAGCCCCCTCCTCACCAAAATGTTCCCACTCCTCGAGGACAATCTCAAAGGCCCCCACCTCCAAGAAGCCCACTGGACTCCTCTCTTGCGGACCTAGAGAGGCCCTGGATGCCTCAAAGCGCAAACCTTACTCTGCCCTGAGTGAACAGGCCCTCAGCATGACTGCCGTGGCGCCCAGGTTTCTGGGGAAGCCCCTGGAAGGCAACGATTGGGGTAGTAGCTGCCTCTGTTCAGGAGGCCAGAGATCAGGATCAGAAACCCAACCCAAGGGGCAGGTGAGAACATCCCCGGGTGGCGCGGGGAGGCCAGTGGGGGCGGGAGTGGGGACTCCCCGTGTCCTGCCTGCAGGGACGGCTACTGCTGAGTTCCAGCCCACTGGGGCCAAGCACAAGGGGTGCCCACAGTGCCTAGTTCTTCCCACTTTCCTAAAGAAGAAATTCATATTTTTATGTAAACATTTTCTGATTTTTAAATATTGGTAAGAAATTCAATTGAAATACAATTTTTTAAAATGGTGTGAACCAGGAAGAAAACAAACATGTCCTCTGGGCACCAACATGGTCCAGACAGGAGGCCGGGAGGCATCTGAGAAGGAAATTCCAGTCATAGTCTATTTTCATTTCATGTTGTCGTGGCTCCGACGGGGTGGGACAGAGGTCAAGGTGACCAGTCCCCAGGGTGGTCATCCTGAAGCAGCCTTCTTCCTGAATGACCGTCCAGCTATTGCCCAAAGCAAAGTGTGTGTGTATGTTCACACTGATTTTATATGTATGTACACTTGCAACTTTGTGTGTGTGTGTGTGTGTGTGTGTGTGTGTGTGTGCATGTTTGCTTACACAGAATCTGATCCTGAAAGTTGAAAACCTTAGGCTTGAATGTGACTCTGGAGCAGACAAAGAGAATGGCAACCTTGGCTACAGTGTGACCACCCAGCACCCTCTGCTCAGGAAGCTCATCCTGAGCTCCAGCCCAGAGCTGGGGTCTTCCAGGGACCACCTCAGTTCTGCCCCAGGGCACAGCTGCTCTCACTGCGGCCCCCATCTTATCTCCGTCCCTCTTCTCCTCTCCCACCTTCATGCCAAGCCCTCCTTCCCCCAGGGCCCCTAGAGGCGGAGCAAGTCCATGCTGGAAAGATGTGGCTCACTCAAGGACAGGTGCACAGACAATGGTTTAAGGTCCCAGCTCACTCTGGCCTAAAATTTTCAATGTTCAGGAACCTGTTCTCTTTGCCAGAGTTAAACATAATTAAGATTTCAAAGCGTATCTTTCCTGACATTTTCTTCTATAAATTTACGTTCATAAATATGCAGGTTTGGGAAATAAATAGACCATACTACTCTTCTCGTTTCATCCAAAGCTTCACGGATTGTAAAAAGTATCGTTATTTTAAGTACCACTAAGAAAGAAAAAAAAATGATACTGATTATAATTGTGAAGTGCTACCAATTTTAAGACACGTCCCCATATAGCCACATTAAATATGAAAGAAACAGATGAAATGCACCGCGGGGCAGTTCTCCAGCTTGCCTTTCTGGTACGGCTGTCTGTCTTGGAGAGTTTCCACGTCAGCCCAGATAAGCTTCCTCATTCTGTTTAATAGCTGCTTGGATTCCACTTTTTGGATAGACCAAAATAGGATGGACATTTAAGTTGTTTCCAACTTTTCTGCTATTACCTACAGTTCTGCAACACACACACACACACATATATATATCTTTGTGTCTCGAAAGTGTTTCTGTAGGATAGCTTCTGTGTTAGCCTCTACGCCTGTTACATTTTAACACAATTGCCAAGTTGGCAGCCCCAAGTTTCCAACTTCTACACTCATCCATAGCAGGGGTCTCCAAACCCCCCAGGACACGGATGGGTACCAGTCTGTGGCCTGTTAGGAACTGGGCCACACAGCAAGAGGTGAGCAGCAGGTGACCAAGCATTACCGCCTGAGCGCTGCCGCCTGTCAGATCAGTGGTGGCACCGGATTCTCACAGGAGCCCGAGCCCTATAGTGAATGACAGGGATCTAGGTTGCTTGTTCCTTAAGAGAACCTGATGCCTGGTGATCTGTCACTGTCTCCCATCACCCCCAGAGGGGCCGTCTAGTTGCAGGAACACAAGTTCAGGGCTCCCACTGATTCTACATGATGGTGAGTTGTATAATTATTTCATTGTATGTTACAATGTAATCATAATAGAAATAAAGTACACAATAAATATAATGCACTCGAATCATCCCCAAACCATGCCCTCCTCACTCCCACCCCCCACCAACTCCACAGAAAAACTGTCTTCCATTAAACTGGTCCCTGGTGTCACAAAGGTTGCGGAATGCTGCCCATAGTGGGCAATGGAGCAATTTCTCTTCTCTGGGATATTGCTGACCCTTTTCATTTCGGTCTATCTGATAGGTAAAATGATAATGTTATTTTAACTTGCATTTCTCTAATTTCTAGAGAGTTGAGCATCTTTTCATGATTAGTGAAACATAATTAGATATTTGTATTCTGCCTGGTCATATTCTTTACTCATGTTTCCATTGTGTTCTTCTACATATTATTTTATTATATAATTTGTAAACATTTACCTTCAATTCCTTCTGTAAAAGAATGTGTCTGGATGAGTACTAAATATAATTTGTTCAATGAACAAATGAAACAGCTTCCTGTTATTTTGGCACACTGTGGCAACGTGTTATCATCTGAAATGGTCCTTCATACTTCTTCCGGGGGTCAGATGAAGATTTAAAGGGCACTTCACGGGGTCAGGTTCCCTTCTACAATTCTAGGTCAAAGGAGCCCATCTGCGCCTTATAACCCGAGGCCCGTTTCCCTCTTGCTTGTGGACCAGCAGCCTTGCTCAGCACGCTGAGGCCCTGGCAGAGGCTGGACCAAGGTGTGAGTTTCACATTTAGTTCTGCTCTGGGTGCTGAGGTCACATGACAGTGTCCTTCTCCTGAAAGTAACACCCCATGTCTGTGGCAATATGGGAGCCAATAATTTTGTTTTCAAATAAACTGAAAAGCCTCAGATGTGGAGTGGACGTCATCCTGCTGGTGCCCACGGAGCCACCTGAGGGACTGTCTGCAGAGCCCGGGCAGATTCTTCCCCACTGTTGCGCAAACGGATGTTCTGCCATTGTGACTCCTGGATGTGAGGGGACATCCAGGCAGTTTGTCAGATATTTCTAAGTGGCCAGTTGATTTGCATTGGGAAGAAAAGTCGGGATTGTGGGTTGAAATAACTCATTGAATCATCAGTGACCTGCCCCTGAAGGACTGGCTTGCAAAGAGGCAAGTTTATATTTGCTGGCAGCTTCTGGTCTCTCGTTTTTGGGGTTTTAGATGTCTCTGAGGTTTCAACATGAAGAGGAAAAAGACAGGTGGGCGCTTAGAACTGCTCTCCTCACTGGAGGTTCTGTTGCCAGAAATCTTCACTCTTTCCTCCTCCTGGGACCAATGGTACATTTGCAGGACATTTGTCCAGGGTTAGAAAATCATGTGGGGCCCTCGGTGTGACTTTGCTCACAAGCTCCCACCCCCACTTCCCTCTTGTCTTTTCTGCATAATGCCTAGACATCACAGTCCACTCATGAACGCTTCAGCAGGCATCTCGAAAGGCAAGGACTCTTCTTTTTAAAAATAAAACTAACCATGATGCCAATATCTGACCTAAAATATTAAGAATAATTCCTTTTTTTTTTTTTTTTTTGAGACAGAGTCTTGGTCTGTCACCAGGCTAGAGTGCAGCGGCGCAATCTCGGCTCACTGCAACCTCCACCTCCTGGGTTCAAGTGATTCTCCTGCCTCAGCCTCCCGAGTGGCTGGGAATACAGGCGTGCACCACCACACCCAGCTAATTTTTGTATTTTTAGTAGAGATGGGGTTTCACCATGTTGGCCAAGATGGTCTCGATCTCTTGACCTCGTGATCCGCCCCCTCCGCCTCCCAAAGTGCTGGGATTACAGGCATGAACCACTGCACTTGGCCTAAGAATAATTCTTTAGTTCATATCATTAACTGTCACATCAGGGACATTAACTGTCACATCGCCTCGTCCATGTATGTTCATGGTTGGTTTTCTGCACAACGGGATTTTGGAGGATTTTTAACCCTATTGCTCTCCCGCCTCCAGCCAAGGCTGACCCCGACTCTCAGCTGGGGTCGTAGATGGGACACCTCTAGAACACTAAGCTTTGCTGAACAACCAAATGCTAAGCTAGCTTATTTAGCCTTCCTGTTGTTAGAGGCACAAACTATGAAAAGCACACTAAGAAATTGAGCCACACCATTCTTCTCTTACCCTAAGCCCCTTTTCACCCTCTGAATGGTCCCAGGAGCTCAAGAGGAGGCAGTAAGGGAGGCAGCCAGGGAAAGGGAGAGGGGCATGGGTCCTTACCTGAGGTCGTGGTGGTCTCGTTGCTGTCGACAGCAGTCTCGTTGCCCCTGAGAGCCCTGGCGAGTGGCAAGCTAAAACCCACCAGCAGGAGTGGACACAAGGGCTCCATGGTGGACCTGCAGAGAGGCAGGGACAGGCTCAGAGGTCATCCAGCAGCAGCAGTGGGACCCTCCGGTGCCGGGCAGTGATGATGAGGATAAGAGCCAACTTCATTTCAGGGCTTCCTCTGAGCCAAGACGTTTGCCTGTCACTTTCACGGATCATCTCACTGAGCCTTCGCAACACCAGGGGGATACGGTCACTGACTATGGACATTCACTCAAAGGAGGGAACCAGGACTCAGAGGACCTGCTTGGCTGATGGTTAGTGGGGGCAGGTCGGGGACTGGAACCCAGGGCGATCTCATCCCAGACCCCTGCCCTCCCCGGAACCACTTAGGAGAAATCACTTCTGGGTGACCTAGCCTGGTGTCCTGGACCCTCTACCATCCACCCTCCACTCGCCCTGCTAACTCTACCCCTCCCATTCAAGCCTTGCTCTCTAGCCAGCTGTCCTCTTCACACCCAGCAAGACACTGCTTTTCAATCTGTTTCTTCGTCCTCCTTCACTCTGCCTGGGAAACGTCGATCCTCCAGGGCCTAGTTCAGGCAGCCTCATCGCCCGGCTGCAGCCAAGTTCTCTATTCCTCGCTGCTCCAGCACACTCAGTCTAGCTCCTGCATGCTTGGTCTGGCTCCAGCATGCTCTGCCTGGCTGCAGCTTGACCCTTGCCTCTGACCATGGCCGTGTCTGAACTCTCAGGTGAAGTGGAGGTAAGCTGCCTCTGTAAGGATGGGGCCATGGTCCACTCATCTTGACAGAGCCAATTGAGTACCCTGGGATGCAGGTGAATGTTTATTGGGGGTAGGGGGTAGGAATGCCCAGGGGCAGACCCAGACTGTAAAGTGGCTCAGCACAGAAAAAGGCTCTTTCATGCTGAGGACCCGTGGGCCATCACCTCAGATCTTCACCTGGCACTCCATTTTGCCAGAACATCAGAGCATCACTAAATGTGGCAGTGACTGCTTGGTGGTGTGGAAACCCGTCACTAGAGCCTCACTGGCAGGTGCAGGTGGGCAGTGGCACCTGCTGAATGGGATTTGCTGTTGACATTGCAGACATGCAGTGGAGGTGTGCCCCCCTCCACTCCCCACCCCCTGAACCCCATCCAAGGTCAGCCTGTCCCCACCAGCAGCCCTCTCCTGCCTGAGACCTCCCTCAGGGATGCAAATGGACCCCATTTCAGAACTGAGGCCAAGAAACATCCATTCCCCGGCTGCTCACATGTTAAACACTAATGCTTGTAATTAGAGAAGATATCTGAATGAGTGTGAAAAATCCTAATTGTGTTTCAGTAATCACCACTATTAAGATGAAACCATTATGAGGACATTATAACAATTAGCCCAGAACAACTACGATGGTGGCAATCAGCACTTTTACTTCTTTCCTCTTTTTTAATTTCCAAAATACACATTTTAGATTTGTAAAATGAGCCATATACACAAATAATTCCATGAGCACCTACTATGTGCTGGGTATTTTATATCTGTATTATCTGCACAATAACCCCACAGGGCTGAGAAACAGAGGTTCCCGAAGGATAAAGAACTGGCCCAAAGTCAGGCTGGAGGACATGAAGGAACCGTGATTTGAACCCAGGAACCCTGGAGACAGAAGCCCTCACTCCCGCTGCAAGCTGCCCTGGCCCTTCCACAACAGGCAGCTCTGCCCATGTAGGCACACACTGTTTTTAAAAATCTGTTACTGCACACTGCCACAATACTTTTAATATACTTGAGTAAATTACAGAGTAATTGATTGGGGAATATTAATTGGTTTAATACAACTCCAGAGATGCAGACTTCCTAGCTGAAACATTGTCTCATCTCATGCATTAATTTGATAACCCTCCTCTTCAAATGCTCAGTGATCTAAGAGGAGGCTGACATCCTTGAGAAAGACAAAGATCATTTTGTTCATCTATTAGAAACTGAGGTCCAGAAGTGCTCAGGGGAGCCGCAGGTGATTTTCCTGACACGAGCGGCAGTGGGCAACAACCTGCAGAATTCAAAGCCTGTCCACCCGCTGGAGCCCGGCTCTGTCCCCGTTATATTTTAAAGCCAATGACAACTTGCTAGTCCCTGGCCATTCACTCTCAGTGGGCTTGCACGAGTGACCTGGTCCAAATGGTGCTTGAAACAGTGATTAAAACCATGCAGAATTTTAAGGATTTGTATTTCATCCGTTTGTGTTGTGAGCCTACCAAATGCTGAGTATGTAGAGCAGAAATTACATGTGATTTCCAGGACTGATATGAGAAAAGGAGTTTATTTATGATAAAGCAGGTTGTATATTTACTCCCCTCAACCGTCAACCTGCTATCTATTTCATTATAAATCTGTCTTTTTATTCCATCTGATGTCTTTTTAATATTCCTCACTGGGCAAGTCCTTGGGTCAGGCAGCCAGGTAGGCCCTGGAGATGCAAAGAATATAGTCTTGTTTCAGCCCTAAAGTGGCTCATTGAGGAGGAAGGACAGGCAGAAGGATAGCCACCCTGATACCCCACTCCCATGCTCCGGAGACAAGGCCACGGTGCCAAGGAGCAAAGGTGAGGGAGCAATGATTCCTCTACGCAGTTAATGAAACCTTCCCCAGAAATGCAGTGTAGAGTGAGTCATCCAGGATGGAAGGCAGAGGGAGATGCAGGCAGGGGACAGAGGAGCGAAGGGAGCCCAGACAGGACCCACTGTCCAGGCAGTTCACGGTTCTCCGGTACGTGGGAGAAGATGAGTGAGGAGGAAAAGTCTGAAGAGGAATTGGGTAGGCCCTCAATGCCATGCTAGAGTTTGGCTTGGCCCTAGGGGCTCATTTTTCCATTAACAATCTACATTATTAGAGTCACCTGGGGGCACGAAGGAACGATGCCCATTCCTGTGCCCAACTCCAGACGGAAGAAATCAGAGTATCTGGGGAATAATGGCTTTATATAGGCTGAAGTTCAAAAACCTTGGCTACGAGCCATGAGTCGCCATGAAAGTTTCCAGAGGGAGCCCTGGACGCCGCGCGTCAGCTCCTGACACAGGGTAGCCTTTGCGGCTGGAGAGTGGTCCAGAAGCCTGAGCATCACCTGGGAGCATGTGAGGAATGCAGAGTCTCAGGACCGTCCCAGACCTCCCACCTTTTACGAAGGTTCCTGGGTGGTTCCTCTGCTCATCAACATTTGAGACGTATTGATCTAAGCAATGTGTGTTTAAGAAAGACCAAGCCAGGGGCAATGGGAATGGAAAGGAGGGAGGGAGTTGAGAAGGATTTCAAGGGTAGGGTCCATGGCAGTGGTGATCAGTGGGATGTGGGTGAAAAGTGAGGCAGCAAAGGTATTGGGGTTTCCATCTTGGGAGCTGGGGTGGGAGGGAGCATCATTCATCAGCTGAGACAAGGAGAATGGGGGCTCTAGGGTGGGGATAAGGATGATTTTTAGCGGGAGGCATAAAGCAATAATATAAGCTCCCAGTTACCAAGCTCCTATGAAGCGGGATAAGCTATCTGAGGTTCTGAGATCAATGACCTCATCAACCCTCACTGAAATCTTTTTTTTTTTTTTTTTTTTTTTTTTGAGACAGAGTCTCGCTCTGTCGCCCAGGCTGGAGTGCAGTGGCACGATCTCGGCTCACTGCAAGCTCTGCAAGCTTCGCGTCCTGGGTTCATGCCATTCTCCTGCCTCAGCCTCCTGAGTAGCTGGGACTACAGGCGCCCACCACCACGCCTGGCTATTTTTTTTTGTATTTTTAGTGGAGACGGGGTTTCACTGTGTTAGTCAGGATGGTCTCGATCTCCTGACCTTGTGATCCGCCCGCCTCGGCCTCCCAAAGTGCTGGGATTACAGGCGTGAGCCACCACGCCTGGCCTCTTACTGAAATCTTACGAGCAATGTCCTGTTGTTACTGAAGATGAAGGGCTGCATTAGAGAGGACGGTGGAACATTCCTCAGGAGACTGCCTGTAGCAGTTGCATTTGGTGTCTAGGGGCCTCGTCAGAAGGAGAGGTGGGCTGCAAGTGCAGTATGTGGGGGAGGCACTCCTTGTGGGGGTTATTGGAGAGGAAGGCCAGGGTCAAGGCAGCAAGTTGCAGGAAGTCACTGCAACAAGGCCCGAGGAAGGGAGCTGGGCAAGAGACTGGGAAACAGTGGCTGGGCTGGGGGGAGGGCAGGAGGCAGGTCGAGGTGCACAACCAAGGGTAGGAAAGGCGTTTTCCTGAGCCCCATCCACTTCCCCACATCCCTGCCCCCTCTCTTGGAGGGGTCCCCTCTCTCTCTTCACCCTTTACTTGACCCCACCAGATTTTGAGGTTGAGCTACCTGAGATGGAGTCTTTCCTGGGATCACACTGTCTGGCCCTGTGTAAGGTGATTTGGGTTTTGGACCTCTCAACCAGCCCAGGAGACCCCAGAGAGTGGGGGCTGTCTCGTGTCCCCATTTCCCAGCTCCTGACTTCCTCCCTGGCCACCTCAATAATTGGGGCTTTCAGGGCATTTGAGGGCAAGGAGCCATCCCTGGGCTAGTGCCTCTGGCCCCACCAAACCCGAAAGTGCCCTTTCCAGCTGGCCCAGGATGTCCAGCTGTGGACTGACCCACACTGCCCCCTGCAGCTCCAAGAGGGTAGTGTTTTCTCTCTGCAGCCCAAACCCATCACCTACATGGTCAAAACCTGCAGCTGTTTTGCTTTCAACTAAGAAACAGATGAGGGTTCTTCTCAAGGAAGCAGGAGACAATGATTTGGGAGCCATACTCAGGTTTCAAAGCCACTGCACTTAAAAAGAGCCCCTGGAATGGGTCGCACGTAATTTCTCATCTAAACCAGGACTTCTTGGAGAGCAAACGAGGGGGCTATAATGGTTCAAAATATATGCTTCTCTAAAACATTTATTGACAAATGATTTGATTTTATTAAGCTGGAAGACTATTAAGTAGTTCTTCTCACAAAATATTTTTAATCTGAAAACAAAATAACATATTAATTTTATATATATATTTAAGAAGAAATATTTCTGGAGGCCCAGGCAGACAGATTGCTATGA